CTCAGAGGTACAAATTTGTTTTAATAAAGAAGGTGACAATTTTAAATAAGAATAAAATTTGGCACTTTTCTTTTGTTATTAGCATCACCTTTGTTATTAGCATCGCCTTCATAACTGGAGATGTTCAATATCACCAGCACCACTATGGGAAACACTAAACTGTGCGACACTTTTCGCATCTGACATCCGAAGGAGTGTTAATTTGCTCAATGAATGGGTATTTTGTTTGTAAGTTGACATTAAATGAACACTTGGGTTTCAGCATAACCGGGAATTACCGATCGCGGTTCCGCGCTGCTCATGATCATGTCTGTTGAACGTGGTTCGCGCGGTTTCAGAAAAGGGGACAATTTTGCGACCCGAAGATTTGTTCGGGGACAAAGGGACTGCTTTTCGAGAAAAGGGACAGTCCCGTTCAAAACGGGACGTATGGTCAGTTTACTCATGGCCTCTTGTCAAACGCCGATTTAAATATTAGGATTATAGAAGCTTTTGAAGTTATGTTTTCAAAACCAAACATTGGATTTAATAGGAAATAAATCAGAGCTTCAATAAAAAAAACAATCAATCAATATCAGCCTATTGCCGTCCACTGCTGAACGTAAGCCTCCCCCAAAGTGCGCCAACTATCCCGGTCCTGGGCAGCCCGCATCCATCCGCTGCCCGCCACCTTTCTTAAGTCGTCAGTCCATCGTGCTCCAGGCCGTCCCACACTTCGTTTTCCTAACCGTGGTGTCCACTCTAACACGTGTCGGCTCCAGCGACCATCAATACGTCTGGAGACATGGCCAGCCCACTTCCACTTCAGCGTGCTAATTCTACACGCAATGTCGGTAACTTTAGTTCTCTGGCGAATGACTTCGTATCGTATCTTGTCTGCCAGAGAAACCCCAAGCATTGCGCGTTCCATCGCCCGCTGAGCGACCTTGAATTTGTGGACCAGCCCCACGGTGAGTGTCCACGTTTCGGCTCCGTAGGTCATTACTGGTAGGACGCACTGGTTAAACACTTTGGACTTGAGGCATTGCGGTATTGACGACTCAAAAACGTGTCGTAGCTTCCCGAATGCCGCCCAGCCTAAGCGTATTCTTCGGTTGGCCTCTTTCTCAAAGTTGTGCCGGCCTAGTTGTATAATTTGGCCTAGGTAGGTGTATTCCTGCACAACCTCAAGCATAGCGCCATTCACGACCACTGGTCTCGGGATCACATGACTATTGGACATAATTTTCGTCTTGTCAAGGTTCATACCGAGACCCACTTGTTTCGAAGAATCGCTCAGGCTGTTGAGCATGGCTTCCAGATCTTGCAGAGATTCTGCCATGATGACAATGTCGTCAGCGAATCGCAAGTGTGTTATTAATTGGCCATTAATATTAATGCCTCGTCCGTTCCAATCCAGCGTCTTAAAGACGTCCTCCAGTGCATTGGTAAACAGTTTCGGGGAAATCACATCCCCCTGTCTTACTCCACGATGCAACTGGATTGGCCTTGTGCTTTGACCTTGTACTTGGACGGACATTGTTGCCGTCTTAAATAGACGTCTCAACACTTGGATATATCGACAGTCAATATTGGCATCTCTGCATGGATTCTAGAACAGCCCAGGTTTCGATTGTATCGAAGGCTTTTTCGTAATCCACATACGCTAGGCATAGAGGCTGGTTGTATTCCTCGGTCTTCTGAATTATTTGCCAAAGTGTATGTATGTGGTCCACTGTGCTGAATCCTTTACGAAACCCGGCCTGCTCCACCGGCTGGAAGTCATCGAATTTTTGGGCGAGAGGATTCGTTATAACCCTCGAGAACAACTTATATATATGGCTCAGGAGTGTTATCGGTCTATCGGTATATATGGGTCAGGAGTGTTATCGGTCTATAGTTTTTCAACAAAGTCTTATCACCCTTCTTGAAAAACAACATAACCACACCTCTGCTCCATGCCTCCGGTGTAATGCCATTATGGAGGACGGAATTAAAGAGCTTAGCCAGCTCCGCCAATACTGGTGTGCTTCCTGCTTTCAATAGCTCTGATGTAATTCCGTCCTCTCCCGGAGCTTTGTTGTTGGCAAGTTGTCTGAGGGCAATACTAATCTCGCCCATGTCGATGTCGGGAAGCTCGTTTGACAGGTGGCGTGTTAGTCTAGCTCGAGGATCATCCGCATTGTGGGAGTGAGGTGGAGGTACTTGGGAAGTATATAGGTCCCTGTAAAACTTTTCGACTTCAGCGAGAATCGCTGGCTTAGAGGTGACGGTGGTTCCGTGAGCTGTTGTGAGTTTTGACAGGTGACCGCAGGAGGTTTGAAACTTAGCAAAGACTTTTGAGCCCCCGTTGCGCGATATAAGATTATTAATCTCTTGGGTCTTCGCTCGTCTACAATCTCGCCTTATTAGTTTCTTAACCTTTCTGTTAAGTACCTGACGCTCAGAAGCTGTTATCACCTCTCGTCTGTTCTTCATCTCCTCCAGAGTCTCGTTTAAGAGCTTCGACTTTCGTCCAGTGCTCTTTGGTCGAAAATATTTTTCTCCCACTTCACGGATGGTCCGCGTTAGACTATTGGTGGCGTCGTCAATGTCCTGCGTGTTTTCCAGCAAGGTGAATCGATTTTGTAGCTCTAGCTGAAAATTTCTACATTCAGCTTCAACCTGGGGCAGTGATGGTCTCAGAGTCGCCTTCACCAGTCGCGCACGTTCGATCTTGATATTTATATTCAGGGTGCCTCTTACAAGACGGTGATCGCTACCCGTATTTACCCTATTGATCACTGAGACATCCCTGAATATATGGCGCTTATTGGACATAAATGAAGTCGATCTCATTTTTAGTCACCTTATCGGGGCTAAGCCAGGTCCACTTCCTCTGAGGCTTTTTCTGGTAGTAGGAGTTCATCAGAAATAGCCCCTGATCCTCGAGGAAGTTTACTAGCATTTGCCCCCTGTGATTTCTGCTCCCATAGCCGAATGCTCCTACTCTCGATTCGCCATTCTCGCGTACTCCCACTTTGGCATTAAAGTCACCCATAACAACAGTGTAGAAGGTTTTGGTACGGGACATAGCTTTTGCTACGTCCTCGTACATGGCTTCGACGTCTTCGTCAGGATGTGAAGTCGTTGGGGCGTAAACCTGTATCACTTTTAGGGAGTATCTTTCGCTCACCTTTAATACGAGGTACGCTACCCTAGCCTGAGCTGCTTCTGAGCGACTTGTGTATTAGAAATCCGACGCCACCTTGGGTTAGTTGATGTCCTTCTCGGAAGTAGAGCAAGTGACCAGCATCTAGTGCTATCATATCCTCGCCCTGTCTTCGGATTTCTGATAGACCTACTATGTGCCAGTTAATATGACTTAGCTCTACTTCCAGTTCGGCCAGGTGTTCGTTCAACCACAGAGAGCGTCCGTTAAACGTAGCCAGGTAGAATCGCTTATGGCACCCTGCCTTAGCCCGGGGATTCTTAGCACCCCCTGTCGCACCGTTACCATGACCGGTACCGTGGCCTGGAATAGTGCAACCACCGGGAACTGGTGGCCTTAGATCTGAGTTGGTTTTCATTGAGGGGAAATCTGCCTTAGTCACCACGCTTGGCAGGCGGGTTGGTGACCGCAGTTGCTGGAATACTTCTCTGACGGCGCTGCTGCCCGCAGTCAGGATTGATATTTATAGATTCCAGCAATATTGTATGGTTATACCGCCATGAATCGGTCGCCAGAGCCTCGTCCGTAGATTAGCAGGATGTACCACGTGCAGGTGAGGTTGACGGTAAAAACAACATGCTAGCAATAATTCTTTATGCTTACTTAGGCAAGTATTTCTATATGCTTACTTAGGCAAGTATTTCTAAATAATCACTTAAAGTATTTCATAATCTAAGTATTTAATAACAATAAAAATATTAGTGGAAATTAGCTTAATCAAATATTTTTCCAGTGGCAGATACATTTTCCGAGTGGTTGAGCCCCTGGACTGAAATTTTTAGGTAGGCAAATGAATTCCTAAAGCCAAAGTTTATAACTGCCACAAAATACAAATTAATAGTACCTTTCTAGATACAAATAAACATTCTTAAAAATTGTTACTTCGAAAAATAAAACAAAACCAAACATTTATAAATTTTATGGGCCTATTCTATTTTTCTACTATACCTAATTAATGGAATTAATGGATGGCCAAAGTTGTCAAAATATATATAAAATATTTGTAGAGACATTTCAAACATTGTAATATTTTTGGGAACTTTTATCTATTATCAGTAAAATGAGAAAATGCATTATATAGCCATATGAATGGTCCAAGTAACAATTTTCAAACCAACGTGATTTATGAAAGAACAAACATACATGAATATTTAAAGCCTACTTTAACAAAAAAAAATTAAAATTCGAGTGAGGGGGGCCTACCTTCAAGGTAAACTAACTTTTTATAAATAAACAACGAACAAACAATCAAGAAAAAACGACGAAGTAATAAAAATAAAAAAATAAAAAAATTATGAGCTAGCTTTGGCGAGTCGGTTTGAACGTCAGCGTGGATAATCGCACCAATGTTGAAATTGCGATTACATCGCAAGATATACTACTTACCACTCAAAAATACTTTAATCCTTATGAAAAATAATTGACGAAATGAATGAAATACTGAAGTTTAATTAGTGTCGCCGCCGTCATCATTGATCGGTTCTGGCTTCCGGCTTCTATTACCGCGTCCTTGCTATATAAATTGACAAGGGACAGAGATATTAAATATTTTACCGAATTAATGAAAATTGTTTATATACATGACTAATATTTGAAAATAAAAAGCCATTGAATAACTTTTGTAACAAAAAATTTAAAGTAATGGTATTGGTTAGATTACTTTTAAGTTATCTGTTGTACTTGACAATAATTATACCTATTTTGTTATCTATGATTCGACGGCTTGCTTGCCGCCTGCGCGATTTTTGGTAAATTCGCGCGTCAGTTATTTTTTGATCGTATTTCATGTACTCATCCGTAACTCACCATAATGGGTGCCTATTTATCTGAACCTGTGACTGAGAAAATGTCCACCGATGAAGCGAACGAAAAACTAGAATGCGGAGCAAGCTCCATGCAGGGATGGCGTGTCAACCAAGAGGTACGATATTGTTTGTTAGTTAAAAGGCAAATTCATTCAAAAATTTTTTGTTACTTAGAAGATACATCATAATATTACTTTGTTCTTCTTTTGTTTCGATAAAAAGGGTTCTAAGAACTGTACTATTTCTACTCTATCGACATTTAAAGCTAAATTCATCAGTTCAAAGAACACCCACGAATTTTTATTGTCATCCAAACTAAGTTTATGACAACTGTAATAATTCGACCGAAAGTTAGAATTATAAGCCATTGTTAATTTCCAGGACTCTCACAATACAATCTTAGATTATGACGATAACACGTCCTTCTTTGCTGTTTATGATGGCCACGGTGGAGCTGAAGTCGCTACATATTGTTCGCAAAAATTACCAGACTATATTAAAGAAACAGATGCATACAAAAACGGTGATTTTGTTAATGCATTGACGGATGCTTTCTTGGGATTTGATGCTACTATTGCTACTAAAGAGGTTATGGATATCCTGAAAGAATTAGCAGGTAAGAGTTATTTATGATTTAATAAATATGAATTTCTAATATAGCCTTGAGTTTTATATACAATGAAAGACATTTTGATAAACTAATATATATTTGATTGAATTGTTTGATAGGTGAAATAAATCCACCCGGACCAAGTGATAATGAAGATTCTGAAGATGAAAATGTTAGTAATTTATATCAAGAAGCACACCTACCTTTACAGGTGAATTGTCATAATCCTGTGTTACTAAATGCCAAACAAAATGATCAAGTCCCAGTACTTTTTATTTGTATACTATAAAACATATATTACACTATATTATAATTATAGTGTGCTATCGCACTTTCATTAAAAATATCAATTTTTAAAACAATGTTTGATTTTCAGATTGAATCATCATTTAGTTTGGTTCTTTAGTTAGTCTTTGGTCTATGGAGACAATTCAATGCTACCCATTTACTAGATTGATAGTATATTTATGCAAGTTTCCTTAAATTTTATTTGCATTTTACTTTCAAGGTTATCTTTGATATTAACAAAATATCCACCTTTTTTTCATTGCCATTTGTTTATTTTAATTAATTGTTTACTTGTTATTTGTTTTAATAAATGATACAGCTATTGAAAGGTAATAACAGAGCCTGTTTTGTAATATTAATAGAATTTGTTAACACCTGAGAACTATTTGTAAATGTTTTTGTTTTACATTGGACTGACTATGCATTGAATTTGCCACCATAAAAATATGTAATATGGTACTACATTTTGTCGCAATATTTGTAATAATTAAAAAAAAACCTTAGTAACTGACATTTACACTTCATGACTGTAGAGTGAACAAATTTACTAATGACTAAATTTATTTTTAATAATGTGAAATACTTTTTCTGTACAGGAAGTATTAGCTAAATATGAAAATAAGTTAAGCACATTACATCGAGCAAGACTTGGTGATACTGCAACACCTTTATCGCCATGCTTGAGAGCAAAAAAGAACACGGAAGAGATAAATGCTGCGTCATGTAAGTAACATAATAACAAAGTATTTTTTTGTTAAAACCTGATTTATATTCTTACGATTTGTATTATATGATACAGCAGCAAGCTCCAGTTCAGGACTTTCATTAGCTGCAGGTTCAAGCTCAGAACAGATTTGTGATGCAGCATCATCTAGCAAAAATGGCTTATTAGTATCTAGCAATCAAGGCAATGAAAATAACACAGAAGAAGATACTGGAGGAGTTTCGTCAACTAATTCTTATGAAGATAAAGATTTAAATGGGGAGGTAAGCTGTGTTCAGTTTTTAATTTTTCTTTATTTGTTAAGAGAATTAAAATTAAACAATATATATTACATTTTTCATACTAAAAAACATGTTTACCTTTAATGAGCAAATATCATAATTTCTTCAATGACTTTTAATTTTTGGTTACTAATGGCACTTTATATTCAATATCATTTTTTATTTCATTAACCAGCTTGCATAATCTTGCTTCGTGCTGGTATAATTCTATATAACATAAAATTTTCTACCCTTAAAGGTTAACAAACAACTAACATTTAATACTTAAATAAAATTTGTTTTGCGACTATACTATATCATTTCATATTTAAAGTTATAAGAAATTACCACCAATTTGCGACAAGACTCAACTTGAGTGCATTATCAACCTATTTCTATCTCACCTTTCCTTTACAAGTTACTTGATTCTTGTGTACTCTAATATGTTTTTCACTTTATTGTAACTTGATAAGTCCACTTTGATCTGCGGTCATAACTTCCCCCAGAACCTTAAACGAATTGACAATCTTAGAACTAGTTTAAAAATTATGAGATGACAGACAGAAATATCAAATTGACTTTTCAAATACTAGAAGTGTTATACTGTAAAGAAAGGCATTCTTTTGTTTTAGTTACTGACAGAAATATATAAAACTGGGTAGATATGTGGACAGGTTTTACCCATTATGTCTATATTAAGTTTTCATTTTTGTTTATTTTATTTTTGATGTGCAATAATAAAGATTTATTCGTTCACTGACAGACAATAAAATAATATGTATGCAGGTGTTTGTTTTCCCTTTAGTCTATTATGGTGACATGTCCTGATTTGGCATGAAGGTAGTGGCCATTTCAAAAATCCTAACCAACTTCCGAGTAATTTTATTCAAGCTAATGCACTAATGACACTAAATGCACTGTTCTTTTTCTTCTTTCGACTTCTACTCTTTTCATAATCATCTCTACTCACTATCAACATTGGAAAAAAAAAAACTCCTAAAAACCAACGGTCGATGCATAATTATAGTCTACCATGTCCTTCTCATCATTCTAACTTCTTTATGTCATATAGGAGCACATACTAAAACATCTGTCAGCAAAATCAGTTCAGTTTGTCTTAATTAATATAATTTAAACATAAATTTCACACGATATAAATTTATTTTTATTTGAGAAATAACTTTATTTCATGATACACAGTATGTCTGTGTGCATATGCCACTTGTTCATATTAGATAATTTCAAGTAGACTTATCGTTTGGATTGTGTAATTAATAAGCAAGGAAAAATTGACAGTTTTATCATAACATTTTGTTTAAATGAAAGAGAACATTTTTATTTCACATATAACAAAAGAATGAAAGAGTACATTTTCAAAGCACTAGTTACTTTTTCTTTAATAAAATAAAAGCAGACAAAAGTCTAGTATGCAGTGTGACTTGCTGAAATCACAGCTTGCATTTGATACTGAGCATGCTGTTGAATATAGCCTTATAATAAGTTGCAAAAAAATGTTTCCACTCTGTTGATGGTCAGTTATTCAATTCTAAATCAAACTTTTTTTATTCACTCACTCTTCAAAAATCAGACCTTCCAATGAACTGGTCTCTAGATAACAGAGCCAAGTCCTTTGAACTTTTTGCTGGGCTTATTTTTGTCTAATAATATAATCTTTCGTCTAATATTCATATACATTTTATATTCAAGCACATACGAGATACCCAAACTGTTGCTGACATAAGCATTTTTGGTCAATTTAGGTCAAAGCCAAAAGTGGTTCGTTGGTTAACAAAATTTTATGCATCATCTCTTTTTGTTTGAATATTCTTAATTTATGATGATTGATTCATAATCAATCATCATAAATTAAGGCCTCCTCTGTACAGAGGGTATGAAGGCGAGTCCACCACGCGCCCCCACTGCGGATTGGCGGACTTCACATAAATCTTCGAAAAAATTTTTTTCTTATTATTTCGAAAATATGCAGGTTTGCTAAAGATGTTTTCCTTTACCGCTGAGCACTTTGGCACTTAAAATTAACAATTAGTGATAGCTTGGACGGGCGCGCGCCTTTAATATAATATACTCGAGCAACCCGAGTTCGACTGCCGGCGATTGGTGCCGGCACCAATAAAATTGGGTGCTTGGTTTAACATTATTATTAAATAAAATTGTAGGTCTCAACCAGTGAGCCTGAAAAAACTGTGAAAGAAAGTGTTGGAAAAGACGCAGACAAAATAAATTCAACAGCACCTGACAGTTCTGGTGATAACTGTCGGCGACCAGAACAGAGTCAAGATGTGAAAAGCACTACAAATGCTGGTAATGGACCAACGTCAGAAACTTTTAATGGTGAGGTGACAGATTCTAAGCAAGTTGATGGAGAGGACACTAATATAACTTCTTCAAATGGATCAGTGACACCTGTAAAATCTGGAAAAGCCAAAGGTGTGACCGGTTTAGCAAATTCTCTCTAAATATTTATGCATCACATTAATATTCTGTATTTTCAATATAAAAAAAATCAGAAAAACACCAAATACATTGTTGTTCAGCATTTTTTGACTAATTTCTAATATGCTTTTTTTTATTTAAATTATTTCAGATAAATCATCGCCAGTTTCAAGCTCAGATAAAGTAACTCCAGAGAGACCAAAAAAATCCAAAATTCGCAGAGCAGCGGCAGCGGTTTACGAGTCACTATTACGTCAAGCGGCTGAAGATGATGATGATGAAAGTGACTCAAATGACGAGACTTTTGAGGGTGGAGAAATCGATACATCCGATGAGGAAAATGTTAATGGGGTTGAAGACTCTTCCAATGAGGGTATGTGTTATAATTAATTTGAAAAGTATATCTATACTAACAAAATTATTGTCTAGAAAAGCTAAGTTTAGCAGGGCAACATTTACATACTTAAACTGTAAATATCGAAATTAATATCTTAAAGCATTAAATGATTTAACTTTGTACCATTGTTAAAAGATGATGGTGAAGAAGAAGATGAAGATGATTATGAAGCGGAGTCAAGTGACGAGGAAGGTGAAGAGGACATAAGTATGTCTGAGGAGCCTGGAAATGATAGTGGTTGTACAGCTATTGTTGCACTACTTAAGGGTAGGTACAACTTATTATTGGTGTACTGTTTTAATTTAAGCACTCAGGTTGTATTAGTGAGGACCAGACTTGTTTAAGTTCATAGACTGAGAATCAAAACAAATTATACAGGGAGAATTTACAAAAAGTGCCCAAATTTACACAGAAAGTTCAGACTCGCTAGTATAAACGTTTATTGAAATAAAAACAAGCTTTTTTTTTTTTTCAAAAAAATTGTCATACTATTCCCGAAAAAACGGAACTTGTTGACAATGCGGTAGTTATTCATAAATACTTAAATTTAACTGTGCACGCACACAAACAAAACGAAGCGCTCGCGACGATAAATCGCAGACGACCCTTCCTCTCTTCCCGCGTCCATCTCACCTGCTCCAGGGTAGGATTTAGTACTATAATTATAGTATTTGTATTATAATTTCATGCTTCGTCCACATCTAAGAATAGTACGAAAACGTACTATAATTTCATTACTTTACATTACTGGTTGTAATCATGTTGTAATTCTTTAACTATTTTCAATACTTTGGACTCTTTGACAAAAATTGGACTTTTTCAATACTCCGTAGTAATAGCTTCACAAACAGTCACTTTGTACTCAATGAAGTAATTAATAGTACAATTAATTTATTATTTTTATGATACTGCATTCTTATTCAAAATTCAAAGCAATAACGATTTTCTGCGAGTTTTTGAGTAAAATAATTTATTTTTTGTGCATTTACTATGAAAATGATAGTGTACTATAATTATTTGTCAAATACTATCCTTATAAATTTTTTGTACTATCTTTTTATCGCAATTTTTTTAGGAAATGAAGTATATGTTGCGAATGCCGGTGATTCTCGATGCATCATTTGTAGAGACGGTAAAGCGATTGATATGTCAATAGATCACAAGCCAGAAGATACACCTGAGCTAGAACGAATTACTAAAGCTGGTGGGAAAGTATCTTATGATGGACGTATTAACGGAGGATTGAACTTGTCCCGTGCTATTGGCGACCATTCCTACAAACAGAATAAAGATTTGGGTCCCAAAGAACAAATGGTCACTGCATTACCAGATGTGAAAACGCTAACAATAGACCCCGCTAAGGATCAATTTATGGTGTTGGCATGTGACGGTATCTGGAATTTTATGTCTAGTCAAGACGTTTGTGATTTTATATTGCCTAGGCTTACAGAAGGACGCGAAAGATTATCACAAATTTGTGAAGAGGTATGTATTAAGAATCATAATTTGAATTTATTAGAGGTGCACTGCATATGGGCTCCAATGAGTATGAAGCATTGAAGCATTTGGCCAAAAATGTATTGACCTGACCATTCAATGGAATAGATATTTGCACCACATAGGTACCTAAAACCGGTACCATAAAAACACCGAATATGCCGAATACGAATATTCAGGCAAAAATTCGGCGCAGCTCTATTACTTTTAATTATTAAGCTTAACTGAGCTTAAACATTGATTGTTTTTTCTGCAGATGTTTGATCATTGCCTGGCACCAACAACAATGGGTGATGGTACGGGTTGTGATAATATGACAGCAATTATTGTAAGGTTTAAGGATGGAGTCATTTCAAATGTTGGACAACACTCTATTAACACAGAGGGCTCTAAAAAGCGAACTGCAGAAGATGGGCCTTGCGATGACAATCAACAAGACACAAAAAGGCAAAAACTTGATGATTCTCTGTCAAGCTCGGTAGTGACTTCAAGTGTTTAGATTTAGTTTGACTAGGAAATACAGTGTTCAAGTCACATATGGTAATGTGTATGTTTGACGGAGACTTTGAATTACTGAAAATAATGTTACTGTCATATTTTTATAAAAGTCACAGATATTAATTTCGTATCAAGAGACTTCCAGATCAAAATCAATATTGAATGAGTATTTCCTTTATATTCCACATCTATTGTAATAATTATTGTGTTTACATATCCCAGTATATTAAATTCCCACCTTTTACCTGTTAATCATAGCTGGAACGTCTCCCTGAAGTATTTCTGCCATGAAGTAACAAACCTTTAATGTTCACGACGTTAGTAAACTTGTTGTGAATGACTTATTGTTACTGTTACTTTTATTTTGTTAAACTATGCTTAAAACATAAGCACCGCAGTTATCTTGATTCCTTATACTATTGGCAGATATGCTTATTTGATAAGATGATAATGAAGACAAAGATATGTCTGTACTTGTGAAGTCTACAATGCTACATTAATTTTACACAAACTGTTACCATTCAGTTTGCTGTATGTTCTCTTACGTTACAGGCAAATAGCACTGTTAATGTGACAAAATATATCTACGAGGTGACTAAAAAATTTTGTGATTATTTAATAAATTGCCTAAAGTAGCCTTATTTGTAATAAGAGGAAGGATGAATTTTCAATTTAAAGATAAGTGAGAATGAAAATTTACACATGGAGAAGATTCTCCATCATTACTTTTTTGAACTGAATTGTTGACGGTAGCAATTAGTTATAAGTTGTAAATGTAGTTTTGGAATCAACATAAAATCCCACATAACTTTAGCACCTAGAAAATATTACGTAGCATTTTTAATTTCTTTTCTAGCTTGAAAATGTTTAACAGTATGTGATACCTGATTCTATTATCATTTATGAATTTCTTTCAAAAAATGTAAGTGAATTATAAAAGTCCTTTGTGTAAGTTATTAAAGCAATAGGTGACAATGATGACAATCATTATACAGAATATGACCTTTTTTGTACAATACACTATAAATGATAACTTTAATTTTCAATGACTGTACAATACACTTTACAAAAAACCTGCAAAATATAAAGTTATTTGAATAAACATAACTTCGTGATATTTTCAAAATTCATTGTTGTCTTTTGCCTGATCTGAATTTATAGATAAAAATTGTTTGAATACAACATTTATTCCTCTTTCGACCTTCAATGCTACAGTTCATCTAAAATATTTATATCAAATTAAAAGTGTAATAATTTCCTTTTATTTTTTTTTGCAGTAGACAAAACTACAAATTGGGTATTTGGTAATATATAATAAAATATCGGCGTGTTCCTATATATTACAATATTCTAGTGATTTCCTGATTAAAAGGAGTAAATTTATATTTCAATTCAATTATTTATCTTATCATGTAGTATAAGTATGTAACTATATTTTTATAATCACAGTTGTAACATTTTTGTAATATTTGTCATAATGCTGGATTCTGTAAGTGCCGGTTCAATACTGTGAAGGGTTTAGTTACAATGGTTTGGTTATTTTATTCCCATATTGCCCAGTTATGTCGCCTAAACCAATATTATTTTTCATTTCTAGTGTGTTTCAGTGAAAATTACATTTTATAGATAAACATGGTTTTCTTTATTATTTTTGCTTTTATTCTTTACGGTGTAACTTGTTTTATGAACAACACGTCAAATTAGTTCGTAGTATCCCTTAAAGGCCGCGATAGCTCATGGTCCGGTCGCTTGCCTTAAACCATGAGCGACCGGTTGCTCGAGCATATTAAATGTAATATGCTCGAGCAACCTAAGTACTATTTTAATTCCGCTCGTCTTTAATTCAATATACTCGTGCAATCTTAGTTCGATCCCCGGTGCCGGCACCAATGAAATTAATTTCAAGTACCGAATGATCACGTGCTCAGCGGCGAAAGAAAATATCGCGAGGAAACCTGCAAATTACGAAACTCTGCACTTAAGATGGACATTAAAACATGTGGCTATCAGCCGTTTAGCTCAGTGGCTAGAGCGTCAGGCCGCGAATGCCGAAGACGTGGGTTCGATTCCCACAGCGGCGACAATCTTTTCGTACTTTTTCTACATGTTTTAATGTTCAATCTTAAGTGCAGAGATTAGCACTATAAAATACTTTAAAATTTTATAAAAAGCAATGGCGACATCTCTCGTTCGAATTATCGTTGTAAAACGCTATTCGAAATTGTTTGTATGCTGGAAAGGATATAACAATAGATGCGCCAAGCATTGCTTCAAATGCTAAGTAACAATGTAGAAGGAAGGCGTTAAGATTTTCGTCGCTGTGGCTATCAGCCGTTTAGCTCAGTGGCTAGAGCGTCAGGCCGCGAATGCCGAAGACGTGGGTTCGATTCCCACAGCGGCGACAATCTTTTCGTACTTTTTCTACATGTTTTAATGTTCAATCTTAAGTGCAGAGATTAGCACTATAAAATACTTTAAAATTTTATAAAAAGCAATGGCGACATCTCTCGTTCGAATTATCGTTGTAAAACGCTATTCGAAATTGTTTGTATGCTGGAAAGGATATAACAATAGATGCGCCAAGCATTGCTTCAAATGCTAAGTAACAATGTAGAAGGAAGGCGTTAAGATTTTCGTCGCTGTGGCTATCAGCCGTTTAGCTCAGTGGCTAGAGCGTCAGGCCGCGAATGCCGCAGACGTGGGTTCGATTCCCACAGCCGCGACAATCTTTTCGTAATTTTTGTACGTTTTAATAATAAAAAAAAAAATTCGAAAATATGTGAACTCCGCCAATCCGCGGTTGGGCCGCGTGGTGTAGTCCGCCCTAATACCCTCTGTACCGAGGAGGCCTATGCCCTGTAGTTTGATATGTGATACTGATACTTTCCTATAAACCCGACAATCAATACGTAATTACTCTTTGAACGAGGCGACTTAGACAGCTTCGTCGGAAGAGGTTCACAGGCATACGACCTGCGGACTGTGTAGTAAGTAACAACGTGTCGACGATGTCGTCCGCTCCTCTGTATCTCTGCGAACCCTAATTAAAATTAAAATAAAAAAAAATTACGAAAAGGACAATTCGCCTAACAGGACGGGGGTCTTGACACAATCGAAGAACCATTTAGTTGGTTTGAAACTAGACTTGGACCGGAATCGACGGTCCTACTCGAATATGTAATCGAAACTACCCGGAGGAAATAATAAGGTCAATAATGCAAATTACATCACGAACTTTGTCGTATGTACGTCGAGCGATCTTTATGTCATGGCACGAATAGTGAATGAAACGTAATTCTTAAAAAAAATATTTATTGTAATCTGTTAACGAAGTGATGTCAAATACTCTAATGTTTCTGTCTGACTCGCTTCTAATATCTGCAAAGAATCGTATTCGCTGTCCAACTGTTCCAGAAGCATGGATCTTTCACTTATTTGATTCTAAAAAAATATATATTAATGTTATTTACAAGTTATCCTAATAATTTAGTCTATTAAAACTGAATCATTTCTTGATTATTCTTAGACCCCATCTTTATTGAATGAACATCTGCGTACCAATGATATTTTAACTATATAGTATAAAGTGTCATTGTAATGTACGGAGTAACAACAGAATACAGAACTCAATAACCTCAGCCGACCTAATAAACCCATCACTAATTAATTTTAAACGTATTACTTGTAATATAGCTTGTTCATTCTCTCTTTGCTTTGTTACTGATTTTAAAAGATTCATGGATCCTATTGCTGCCATTTTCTGCCTTTCCACGTTTTCACCCAATTCTTTTAGTGTTTCAAGCAAAGTACTGATTATTTTTTCAAAATCTTGGACCTCTGTAACCAAACAATTAAATTGCGGACCGAGCATGTAAATTAAGAGCACTGACAAGCGTATATAACAATCATGCACTAATAAAATAATGTGTTAATCAAGTCATTTGTATTTTTTGTTTGGTACAAAACTTTGTTATTTTTACTTTTCGTCCAAGTTCTGCTCATTCTATCCAGATCAATGAAGCGTGGATATTCTGCGTACAGCAACATTAGGCGATATTTCACTGCTAGGCGCTGCGTAAACATACAATTTTTGTTACTGAAACGGTACTCCATTTCAGTAATTGGACTGTAGTTTCTGTATCCAGTAACAGCAACTGGACATACTTACCAGTTGCCTGTTACCGACACGGTACACCACACGAAACCGTAGATGCTGTGTCGTTAGTAGCAATCGAACATAATCGCCGGTAGCTACTTCTGGTCACTGGTTACATTTCGTTGTTTTCCGACTTTTCCGTCAATTTCATGATGGACGTCGATGAAGAAACAGCTTGGCTTTTGTCACACACAGTACAATTGTAAGCAAATTTGTTAACGTTGCTTGTGTCTGACTGGCGACTTTTAGTTTCTAGTTACCTACACCGAACACTTTAATTGGCGATCGGTATGTGTCAAGTGTGAACAACTGGACGCAAGGAGTGTCTATGCGCAAGGATTTGTTGATTTCATATTGATAATATGAAAAGAAAATATTTAGGGTAGCTTGTGTCCCACACAGAAAAGTGTCTACGTTTGCGCAGCCTTAAGAACCTATGTTCATTGAAAAAGAGTATTTGAGAAATTATCTAGAAGGCTGCAGCTGATCAAACTCAAAGAATTAAATACATTAAGAATGAAAATGAAGAAAACATTAAAAAACGAGTCAGTACCAAAAATACAGATATTTTTGACTTAGGTAACAATTTTTATTAATATGAACGATAGTTGCGTTTCCCCATCATTTAAAAATATTTATATGCGAAAAAGAAGTGTTTTAATAAATACTTTTTTTATGCATTGTCACATGTAAAATACACTTTTTCTTTTAAATTTTACTAGAAAAATGTGTGTGTTGAAATCATCTACACCACACTAATTATGAACATAAAAGGCAGAAATATATCTTATTTATACTCACTTGTTTCATATTCTTTACATGTTTCTTTCAAATCTTCAGTGTCTTTAAGTACTGCGGGATCTAGCACTCTTATTTTATTTATATCATCATAATACAAATGTGCTTTTTGTAATTCGTCAGCCATTATTTACTCCAACGATCTCCACTCCGATAATTGATCGAAGAAAAATTTAAAATGAAATTAATAATATTCAATGCTTGTCTTCCATGTTGATTAAGCCTCGGCTTTGTTTCAATAATTTTATATTATACATTATAAAGTTTGTAAAACGGTGTTGCTAAGTAACCGATACCTACAAATATATCCTGTGACCTTTATTTTTAAAAGCGTACATATAACTCAATGCATAATAATATTTTAATGTGTTGTTAACGCGCCCGAAGTGAAACTAAGAAAATGTCCCAATTGTGATTTCTCGTCTTTTGTTCACATTAGACAGGGCGGCGAATAACACGAGGTATCAAAAATTTTACAATAATAAAAATGCCTTTAAAATGAAGCAGCCAATAGTTTTAATACGGGGACGAGAAAGATGGATGCATTTCGAAACTTTATGCGCTAAAGTGACATAACTTGCCGTCCTGTTTTTTTTTTCTAATTCCTTTATTGTTTTTTTTTTGGCTGGAGCGTCCATTGTTGGCCTCGAGGAATCCTTTACAGATGCACCAGGCTTGAGCTGGCCCGGCGCTGAGGGCGCTTAGCCTGTACGGCGTATAGCTTTTTTTGCTGGATCAACCACTTTTGGCCTTAGGAGGCCTTTGCAGATCCGCCGCGCTTGAGGTAGCCGGGCGCTGAGCATTGGCGTATCTAGGGCTATTTTTTAGGGTGGGCTTGGGACCTTACTATAAAAAAAAATCGAACACTGTAGAACTGTTAAACAACGCAACGGATTTTAATGCGATTTTGATGCAACAATAGATATTATTCAAGTGGAAGGTTTACATATAGTACAAATGCATATTATATTAGAGAAAATTCGAGAAATTCAATATCTACATTGCCGTGCCAAGCCGGGGCCGGTAGCTAAGCTAGTTTCCTATATGAAGAAAAGAACGTCTCTTCACCCATGGTAGATCTCAACTAAATTTTAATTCTCCGCATTGCTGAAAAGCTCCGCTCGCATCCGACTGAACTAATCACAATTGCAGCTTGAATTAATTTACAAAGATTTGGGGATAAATCTTGTTCAGCGCGTTCCTTAAGATCTTCAAATTTAATATTATTTTATTTTATTACATTTTTTTGTAATGAAACATTCTGCTTCTAAAAGAGTGCTATTAATTCGAAGAATGTCGTCGTAATTATAGATAAAAGCCTTCCCATTTTCGAAATCTATGTTTAAAAACGCATCGATCGATTGGGCCAGAGGTGCACTTTCGAATCTGCATTTCATGGTAATTATGCATAGGTCACACTAAAAGTTTCCGGAACTGGCCAATTACATAAACAATATTTTAAAAGTACTCTTTGAATGTAGAATGTAGTTTGTTTCATCTGACTGTCAATTACTTTTACATTGTGGCGCCGTTTTAAAAATTGTTTCTACATTAACATGGATTTAACTCGGGAAAATTTTCTTAGTATTTTTTAGGAGTACATACTAAGATTTTAAGTGTAATTAGAAAGTTCAGCAAAGCCTCGCTCGGCTTCAATCTGCTTTTGGCGATGAATTGTTGAATTGGCGATGAGTTGGATGTCCAGCCTAGAATTTCGAATCAGTAACCCAAAATCCTAGGGTGGATCACTATCCTAGGGTAATCACTAGACCATACTGGGGTGGGCACGGCCCACGGCCCCGGCCCCCCCGTTATATACGCCTATGGCGCTGAGGGCGCCTAGTCTGAACCTCGAACGTATTGCTTTGCTTACACTATCCTAAATAATTTTTATTACATTCAAACGAAACGTGTGAATATGTGCTGTCTCTCAGTTTGGAAATAGGTGTGAGCTATACTAGTTTAAATCGAGTACCTGTTACGCCTGTTACTGTTTCTTAAAAGTAACAGTGACAAATACCTGTTACAAAATAACAGCCTGTTATTTCATACTATGTCACTGTTACCATAGTAACAGCTGTTACAGTATGTTACTCTATGGTAACGTCCGTACTTCTCTTTCTAACAAAGCTATAAGAACGAATGTAACAGCTGTTACAGTATGTTACTCTATGGTAACGTCCGTACTTCTCTTTCTAACAAAGCTATAAGAACGAATGTCTTGAAGGCAAGAGTAAATAGGCTGTTACTGAGCTATTGTGTTTACCATATAATATTACATCTTACTGGGGATAGTAGTCAAGCACTAGCCGTTATTGGGTAAAATAAAAGGTGCTATAGAAAACTAATTTACATAAACGAGAATGCGTACTAGCTTTATAGAGCATAAATAATGATATTTTATACTGTGGAGATGTAATACCACTGAAACCAAATAAAAGATTATTATTTGCGTTCACTGTGCTATATGCTTACAAAATCACCGGTGGCAAGAGTTCCTATTGATAAGCGTATTTATCGTAACAGGTAAATATAACATGCGTCTAGAGATAATAGACTGTATCTGTTACGAACAAACTTAAATAACAGTTCCATTTCCACACAAATTGCTACTTAACACGCTTTCACAAGCTTTTCTCTATTCATGCTTACGACTGTTATCTTAGAAAGAGATAAAAACTGTTATACGTTGTCACTGTTGGTACTGAATACTTTGTCACTGTTACAAGCTCTTTCTTTTTCTTGCGTAAGTCATATAGCTCTGTTAAGGGGCCCGTTTGTAACACACAGTATACATGTGCATAAATTGCTATATTTATTCATCTTTAGAGAGCAGTCTAATTGAACAAAAAAAACGAATGAATTGGTACTTCACTTTTTTTATTTAGCATGCTAATAAATACAATATATGAGATATTCATTTATACAACATATATTATAACAGACATACATTTAAAGGTTATTTATTAACAAAAACTTTTATATAACAACAATAAAAACATAGCAGAATCGCTATTTTCTTTTTTTCGAAACGTCATGTAAATCCATAATTATTACACCAACAACACTGACACTATTGAGAAACGAAACAGTACTGATGATGGACGGAATGCAGGATAGTGTTTGGGCTACATCTTGCTTTGCAGTCCTGCACGGCGGACTGCCAGGCAGGATAGTGAATGGGCCCCTTTAGGAGGAGAAGTACGGACGCTACCATAGAGTTACATACTGTGACAACTGTTACAGTATGTTACTCTACGGTAGCAGTTACAAAAACTGCCACAAAATAGTATGAATTAACAGGCTGTTATTTTGTAGCATGTATTTGTCACTGTTACTTTTACGTAACAGGAACAGGAGTAACAGGTATTCGATTTTATCTTGCTGATACTAATCCACAGATGATACATATATACTGATCCATAGATGATATATAGGTATGTACTATCAGTCAACTGTCAATCAACTTCTATGACAGCATCGCTCGTAAATATGCTAGCGCAATTTATAAATATAACAAAGTGTCTTGTTTTTGCCTTTTGTTATTGGTGAATATAGAGTCAAGTAACATTGAATTGAATGTTTATAGGGTCACTCGACTTTTGTTTATTTAGTTTGTACAAAAAACTTAATTATTTATATTAGTTTGTTTAACATTGTTTCCGTTTGTTTAACGACTTGGGTGTACTGTAGAGCGTAGTGAATACACTGTCCTTAATCTGATGTGGTGTAAGCAGGTGTAAGTGAAAAATGTTCCTGTAGCAATAACATTTATACGCTTTGAATAATTTAAGGTTTTTAGATTTCTAAACACTTAAAGTATCATGGAGGGATTAACCCAAAATGAAAGGATTATTTGGTCATGTTGGGAAGAAAAATCGCCAAGAGACGTCGTTAGAGAGGCAGCTGCCAAAGGAACTCACATAAATCTAGCTATTAAGTATTTAATGAATAAAAATTCCTGGAGTGAATCATCTTCAAGGGATTGGTTTTTGGCTGAGGTAAAGGCTTTTTATAACTTTTAAATTAAAAAAAATTGTTAATGTAGAAAAAAACTACTTACTAAACTACTAAATTGTTAAAAAAATTAAAAATTTCAGGTTAAAGCATGGACTATCCAACTCCTTATTCGAAAGCAAATATTTAAAGTTCTACATATTTTAAACAAAGTAAATATTAACCCAGAAGACCATTTAATGACAATAGCAGCTACATCTACTGAAATAGAGTATAGAGATTTTGTTGTTGAGCAAATAGACAAAAACTCAAAAGATATTGCAAGTGAGAATACTGAGAAATGGTTAAATTTTAAAAGACATTGGAATTTACTTAGATATTTGGAAAAATCTTTTGAAGTAGATGGTACATTTAAACAAAATAAGGTATTTGGTGAAGGAAGTAATAGAATTTTTGTAAATGAGAGTGAGTTAAAAGCTTTGACAATTGAGAAAATTGAAAACTACCCTGATCATTGGAAAAGTTTGATAGCCACTACATTGTTCTTTAACACATTTGGTAAGTATTTTATGAAGGTGCAGAAATAATAGGTTGGGGAAAAAGTTTCTTTGCATTTCATATGAAAATTAAAAAAAAATTTTTTTGTTTGTATTAATGCAATCTTTTTCTATGAACATTAAGCATTTATTAAGCAAGTATTTATATATTGTCTTGCAGCGCAGACGGTCCAGTCACATGTGCCCATTGTTTATTATATTCCCCATAAATCTCTAGGGGACTTTCTTTTTAGTCTCTTAAATGTTGAGTTACTTTTCATTAAGTTTGAAGCCAAGGAGCTTAGATGAAAGTCCAATCTGTTCTTGTATGATTCTATTAAGTATTTAATCTCTTCTTGTATTGTTCTGATTTCTAGATTGTGGTGAAGTTGTTGGTTTGTTATAAGCCAAGGAGCATTAGTTATTATCCTCTGCATTTTGTACTGGAATCTTTGAAGTATTTATAGGTTTGAGTTGGCAGCTGTGCCCCAAAGTTGCACTCCGTAAGTCCAAATTGGTCCATTTGTATAGAAGCAATTTATTTCACAAATTTTTTTCGTGGCGTTGCATTTTAACCTTTTTAGTGGTAAAAATTTAAAATATTTCAAATCACTCATTTTTTATGCATCTTAACAGTAACAAAACCACACATTTTCCTAATTTGAATTTGGAATTATCTTTTTTAAAATTTAAACTTTTTAATGATACCAAAACCAGCCAGATGCAAATGGCCAAAGAGATTATATTATAAGTACATACATACTATTTGCGAAAAGAGTTTTTCCCCAACTTAATAGAATGAGGTGTGTTGTAGTTACAGTGCCTGCCTTATTTTATATTTATATATGCACTACTCCCATTTGTGCCTTTTACCTGGTGGCAGAGTCACTAACAGTCACTTTGCAAGATGTGCTTGTATGTGTATATAAATATGGATAACATTGTCTATTTCTGACAATGTTCTACATATATGTTATCATAAGGTCATTAAAATTGAGAGCTTGAATTTATAGTATTTAGGTGCATGATAGAATAGATTACTTTATAAACTTAGATATTTTATGTGTGTTACTATAAAATTGTATACTGTATTGATAGTATCTTTGTTTTAGAATTTACATTGCTGGATTTTTCTTCACCTCATCAAATGTGGAATTACCTTCTGGAGAAAAATAAAGCTATGATTCTTGTTCGTTGGATCAATGTGCAAACATCGGAGGTTGTTCGTGATATGAATGCCAGATATAATTTTTTTAATAATGATAATTTTGTTAGCAAATTCTTAAATGTTGACACAAAAGGTTTCAGTAATGAAGTCCTTGTTAAATTAGACAAAGTTTTTCGTTCATGGCCTATTACAAATGAAATGATTGAAAATGTTGCTACAAGTCATTGTTTTGTATACACTAAGTTGTGTATATATGATACCCTCTGCTCTTACGGCATTGTAAATAAGGAGGAGTGTAAAAATTTATATCTCATTATTGCTAGATTGGCACGAACCCAAAACTTAAAACAAATTGATGATATTTTTACTGAATCTTGTGCTACTATAAGTAAACAGGAGTTCTATGTTGAGCTTGCAAAGTATTGTGTGAAGAATAAACTTTATAATGTCTTGACTATGTGCGTGGAAGGCCACATTTTGGACACGGATTTGTCAGAAGTGGAACAGGAAGCCCGAGATTGTATTGAATTGTGGTTATTATTTAAAAGTATTGAACAGACCTCGGATCGACAAAGCCATGTAGTGCCTGTATATAAAACTTGCCAACAAATAGCTAAGGATGATATTGACCATTATATTTCATCAAATCCTCATTTGGTGCTCGGCATGATATTACTGGAGGATGACGCAAAACTATTTGACATATTTTCAAAGAGGGACTTTTTGCAGTTTAAGGACTTTAAGCTGCCCAATAAAGGATACAAGCACAAACTGCCCCATTTGTACAATGTTTACAAGAAATTCGCCGGCGGTAATCAAATGTATGACTCTAAAGACGTGAATGTCTATCAATTGCTCTCGGGCTATCGCGGTCTGGACGTCTCGAAGATATTCGAATTCCAACTGGTCAATCAGAGCACGAAGAGTTTGCTGAGCGAGAAATCGGACAGGAGGAGTTTGGGCAGTTTGCTGTCGAGCGACGTCGACGTACGGGGCAGCATCAAAGCGTTGTCCCACAGAACGATCGACATGCCCGATTTCGCGAATGAGAAACTGATAAAGCGTTACGGCTACGTCGCAAAGTTGAACCACGTGTACTATTTGAAACAATACCGTCCGTGCAACGCCAGCCAGGCGCTTGTGGCACAACAGTATCAGAGCTACAACCGCTTGCAGGAGAAAAGCATAAAAAGTGCGTGCTGCGAGGCTCACGCTTTGGCGTTGCAGAACTGGTCGGACCCGGCGATGGCGGCGTGCGCCGTGTCCTTCGTGGCGATGATTGGGTGCAACCCGACGAGGTGCAGGGTGCACATGACCGCCGCCAAAATGATGAAGCACCATTACTCGGTGTTCAAGAACATGCCGGAGGAGAAGGCGAACAAAATCGTCAACGAATACATGTCGAAACTTATCCAAAGCAACGAGCAAGCGGCGAGAGACATTCTGCAATGTTTGGAGGAAATCACCATGTGCAAACTGAAACAGATGCAGGAAACCGATGGCAAAGTAGACATTGCCGTTGTGTTGTACGAATCGCAAACAATGGTAAAATTTGCGATACTGCATAATCTGCCGTTGCCGGAAATGCAAATAAGAGAGTTCGTTAGGAACAACTCTTGGTTCAATTTTTTGCTCTTCGGCGATGTTTTTAGGTACCCTCTATCGCAGATGTTGCAGTTATCCCAAGAATTTGAACGACAGTCTTATGCGGAGCATCTCAAATATATAATGTTACACAAGAACACAGAGGAGGAAAAGGATTTTAAATCGGTTTCGAACAACGGTCAAAGGAGATACTCCAGATTAAATTCTATGGAAGTGGTAAGATCATCCGTTTCTAGATCAGACTTGTGCAAAAGCGATTGACACAGTACATTAAAAACGTCCCCGCAGATTTTCGCAATAAAAATACTAATTACAACAAAGGGTATAAATTTTTTTTAATGTTGGCATCTCCATTCTATCAAATTTCATCCGAATGCGTTGTGGTCGGTAGAAAAGCAGACAGACATTGACATAAACTTTCTCTACTTCACATTTCTTATTTAACTAGTAAAGTCATATTAGTCGCGTTACAAACAAACTCTTATTAGCAAATACAGAGGGAGAAACGCCATTACAGAGTCCAACCCAATCCTCCTCGTTCGATTTCCCTTCAAGCGCGTATATGGGCCGTGAGTTGTGGGAAGTGGCTGCGGCCTGCCACGGCCCTGAAGACCCGCCCGCCGCTCTGCTGAGGGCAGCGGACGTCTGCAGGGAGCCATTGCTTGTACTAATCGCCAGCTGCTATGAGGTAAGTCCTCCCATCTCCCATTCTTTTGTTCGGTGACGTTCCCGGTTTCCAATCCTGGGATTAAGCTTCTGCGTTCTCGCGGTCAAATAATTTAGCAGAGAACACAAATATACCAGTGCCAGTGTTTTCGAGAGTAAATTGAACCTCAATTAGGTTTTATTCTTCAAAGGTTGAACGAGTGTTTTGTTTTTTCATGAAAATATGAGTTTGCCTAGAGAGTATTCAAAGTGATATGTTGTAGATCCTCAGGCGCTGCGGTAAGCATCTATCATTAGTTGAACCAGGTGCTTGCCACACCAGCTCTATGATAATGGATACTTGCACAATTATTTATTTATTCATCACCTCAAAGTACACAACTAAACAGAATAAATATAGGAGGCCGTGCAAAAAGTGATGAGGTACCTTAATTATAGGTAATAACTACCAAAATAAAATTACAACAGCGTTGTTAATTAACTAAATATGAAATACAAACACTATAATTATATAAACATTATAACTTATAATAGAAAAAAAAACATTACAAAAACGCAAAAAAAATATTACACAAAAAAGTCTAATAAAAGAAATGTCAAAGATACATGTTTAATTATTTTGTCTTCGTCCTTTTTAACTATTTATATTATAGTCTTACTAGCTGTTAAACTCGGCTTAACCCGCACGGTCAAAGGGAATCAACAATGAGTGTTTTATTATACACCAGAATAGCTCGCAGATGGCAGAATGTTGGATAATTCACATAATATATTTATTAATTATAGCCTATGTATTATTATTATTGTAAAGTTTCATTAAAATCCATTCAGTAGTATTTGCGTGAAAGGGTAACAAACATCCATCCATACACACAAACTTTCGCGTTTATACTTAATATTAATATTGGTTATGATTTTGTTTTTATTTGCAACGGTTGTCGCTTTCCAGCCGAACGCCGTCGATGTGCTGTGGGCGCAGTGGGTGCTCGCATCGATCGACCCGCCCGAAAGCACCCGAGAGGCGTTGCAATCGAGAATCGCCCAGCGGCCGCTCTCCGAGCAGTTCCTCAGGGTCGCCGAAGTGTGCCTCGTCGAGGGTTACGTCGGCACCCTCAACGAGTCCATGCTGGTGTTTATGCCGGTAAGATTTATTTTATTATTATTTTATATATTTATATATATATATCTATATTCGTGCGAATAGTTGTCGAGCGAGCAGGCGGCGCACCCGATGTTAACTGAATACTCCCGCCCATGGACACCTGTTACACCCGAGGGTTGCAGATGCCTTGACAGCCTTTTGAAAATTGGGCTCCGGCCACCTCACTCATCAGACGGAACGCGAAAGTATTATAAATCCACTTCACGTCGTCTTCTGTGAGGTCGTGGTAAGTACCCGGATGAGCATACCCATTCGTCCACCAGAGCTGCTGCGTTGCCATACCACTGAACAAATTAAACTTTCATTTTAGGTTTCGACTGACAGACCACACTAAACCATGGTCTAGCCAGAGCCCGCATCAAATATTTACATTATGTCTCATCGTTGTCATTCAAATGCTGTGGAATAAATATTTTACTTAAAGATAATTTCGACTATGTTTTGGAAGATTATTAGGAAGGCTATTATTTACATTAATGCTAGTCATGGATTTGTATGGAGTTTCAATAAAAACAGATATCTGTCGAAATCGACAGGCTGATCTTAGACTATCATATAAATTTATCGACAAGTGTTTTATTTTTATTTTTGTTTCCAGTTTTACTATTCAAAGATTATTATTAACATTATAAGTTGTACTGTAAAGGTAAAATGTTGAAGACTCGGCAGTTTTATTAAAATCATACCATGTATTGTTATGAGCTGTCGCTAGCGATATTGCCGGACAAATTCAACTATGACCTAGATGTAAAAAATTAAAGTGTAATAACAAATTTGCCCCTCAAAAATTTCAGGATAGCCCCCTCGCGCTGCTGGCTTCGTTCCTGTACCGATGTATCAGGCAGCGTACATTCGACGTCGAAACATCTAGAATCCTCGCCAACTTTCTACAGCAGTGCCAGCGTAAATACAGCTCGGACTCGGCCAGCGCGCCTTGGCACATGTCCAAAGACACTTTGCAAAGGATCGCCGTTGAGTTGGTCAAAGTCGCACTTAGCTATAGTTTCGATAGCGCCTACCACCAAAGGGAATTCCTGAAGTGCTTAGCCGATGTCCAGTTTGAGAGGGGACTGATGGGTGGGTATTATTTTATCACTACATAAAAAAACAATGTCGTCCCGCTGTCTGTCTGTCCCTTAGATCTTTTAAACTACGCAACGGATCTTGATGCGGCTAGTAACGTACATATAAATCTCAAGAAAACAAATCAGCTTTCAATAATATCAGCCACGAATAAATGATCTATTCGTCAACATAACTAAATTCATTTTAAATTTTTCGTAATTGAATCACTAGTTGTAAAGTAATTTAGTTTTATTTTAATTATAGCTACCCAAATTATTTTCAGTGCCAACGCCAAACTTTGTAACCCTACACGAAATAATCCAGATATCAATGCAAACGTCTCTAGTAGTTAGTATACAGAAATTGCTCCAGGAGGACTGTGAGAGTTACCTTTCAGACTGTATACGTATTTATACAGACAACACAAAATACGACGTGGCCCTAAAAATCGCCAAGTTGGCCGGTTTGCCTGTGAACGATATTTTGAAAGCGGAGTGGAGTCATAAACACCAAATGTTGCTTTCGCGGGACGTCGAAATCGAAGACAAAGATTTGACGCTCTTCATTGCAGAGAGCAGCGAGGCTTTTAAAAAGGCCGCTGTAACATTTTACGCGGCCACGGATTTCCTGTTACATTACGCAAACGGTATCACGGATCCAATACAGAAGTTTTACTCCTACAGAATAATCATGAGCTGGTTCGAAGGCAACTTAGAGTACGGGAGGAGACGGGAGGAGATAGAGCATTCGATGTGGTGTGTGTACTTCCAAGTGGAGAACCAAGAGAACGTCTTCCTAAACAGTTACCAGAGCATCCTGCACTTCGTGCTGTCCGGTCAGAAGGACCGCACTCTGTCCAAGAAGGTCGGCCAGTTAAACGCGGACAGACCTTTTTCGGCGACGCTGCACGAGATCGAGGTGGAATCGGACGTTGGGAACATCGAGAACGTAGTCACCCTTGAAGAGCCAGACGCGATAGACAGCTGGAGGAGGGTGGTAACTCAACTTCTAGAGCTGAGACTCCTCGTCGAGGCGTTCCGTCTATCGGCTTTGTACAAGACCCCGCCCGAGTACCGATACAGGGCGCCAGCGTGCCCGGTGCAGATTGTGAGGACGTGCCTTAAATTGGCGGAGGGCACGTGCTCGCCTTACGAGCTGCCCCAGGAACTGCGCCTGGTCATATCCTCGCCGTCCTCGCAAAACAAATTGACGGGTGGGTAAATATTTTTCGTAAATTCGTTGGGTTAGAATTTGTAGAGCATAATGGACGAAGTTTCGGGAATCTAAACCACGTCTTGCAGATTCATCACGCCTTTCGAATGTTTTATCGTAAGTGCAGCGATAAGCACCGAAAAATTACCTTTTCAACGGGCTTCAAAGAGGGAGACTCGCATTTCCCTTCTATTTTTCATGTTTGTTGCCTAGAACTCAGTAATAAGAACCGGTTTCAAATATTCTGTTTGCATTCGGTGCGGTTTGGCTATCATGTCCCATATCAATTTAATTTGTATTGAAATTTGGACTACGGAGATAATCAGGAAAGTCCTCAAAATCAAAGAGAACATGTAAAGCGAGTGAGGTATTTGAAGTCACTTTTGTTTTTTTTGTTTTTAAAATGTACTTTTTTAACATTAGCAATAGTGATGTTGTGTTAGGTAAACCTTAGTATTAAGTTAGTACGACCTTATTAATGTGTAAAAAATAGTATCGCTTATGACATTGAAATAGTTCCTTGTACGGATTAATCATGCGTCAGTTGTTAATTTCGATGCAAAGTTGAGAAAATTTAACTTATATTATTTTTCCCAAGCGGCAATTGTTTCAGTTCTATATTGAACATTGTCGAAGTTCGGTTTCAGTGTCGGACACGAGCTTCGAGGAGCTGGTAGTGATCCAGGAGCGGCAGGACATGCAGCCGGTGGCGGTGCCGCAGCTGGCGGTGCGTGAGGAGGCGGACCGGCTGGCGGCATTGGACGCGCTCGCCGTGCGGAGTGGGCTATCGCTGGCCAAACAGGTGATGAATGATTGAATGAATGAAAGAATGAATAGCTTTATTCCCAGAATATGGTAGTACATTGTAATAATCATTATAATAATTTTGTGCAACATATCCAGCTGACTTCATTATGCAATTGTGATAGCTATTCGATGACAGTCTTGGACTTTTGCGGCGGTAATTTGACCAACTTAAGTGGAAGAGGTAAATGAGAAAGCGATGGTATGTCATTACCAGCATCCGTCGTCGTCATCTTCGAATTTAAATCGCTAAGATTTCGTAAAAACGCACGTTGGATAACCTTACCCTCTGTCGTAAAGACGTTCCGCATACGTGCTTAATTTTTTCACGTGGACAAACAGATCCGAAACAACAATCTGTGGGTCGCACAAATACTTGGCACGTGTGGGAATCGAAGCCACGACCCCCGGCGCCGAAGCCCATTCCTTGGCAACTGCGCCACGGAGACATCGGCCTTGAATTTTAGTGTTAATTTTGTTACAGATCGCAAGCTACTTCCGCATTGCATTACAAATTGGCTGGGATTACACATCGGTGCTTAAATATCAGAACCGCCCCGTCGACTTCATTAACTTGGTCAGCGGCCGGTCGCGGATGTTTTTGGCGAATCTCGTATTTCGTACATTCAATGTCCCATCGAAACAGGTACCTATAATAAAAGTGGAGAAATAAATACATAGTGAATGTAAATTAGTTTATTTTAGATTTTTAAATTAATTTATTTTTATTTAGTTACGAAACATACGAAAGTAATGCCGTAATAACTCATTGTCCGGGCGCTCGCCTTTAATTCAATATGCTCGGGCAACTTGAGTTCGATCCCCGGTGCCGGAACCAATGAAATTGTTAATTTTAAGTGCTAATTATCAATTTTTAGTGCTGACTTATTATGTGGTCAGCGGTGAAGGAAGTTGCAATGTATTTTCGAAATAATAAAAAAAACCGCTCAAGTGCGAGTCGGACTCGCGCACGAAGTGTTCTGTACCATTATCTATAAAAAAGGCAAAAAAATCATGTCTATTGTATGGGAGACCCACTTAATTATCTTTTAATTGTGTTTTTTAGTATTTGTTGTTTTAGCGGCAACTGAAATTTTATATAATTTGTGATAATTTCAACTGTTTAACTATCATGTTTCATGAGATACAGCCTGGTCACAGACAGACTGCGGAATCTTAGTAATAGGGTACCGTTTTACCCTTTGTACGGAACCCTAAAAATAATTCTAAGATATGTGAAGTCCGCCAATCCGCAATGGGGCCGCGTGGTGTACTATGCCCTAATACCCTCTGTACATAGGAGGCCTTTGCCCAGCAGTGGGACATTTTATAGGCTGCTACTTAACGAATCATTTTTGCATTAGGTTGCGGAGTACCTGTGCCTGGAGATGGTTGCGGCGATAATTTCACCGCACTTGTTGAAGACGTCGACGTTCAGGCAGAAGGAGCACTTCCAGTACACGCTGTGGGGCTACGCTTTGAATTCGGACATCGAGATGTTCCTGAACATGAGGCCGGACGCGTGCAGCCACATCGGCAGGCTGCTCCTCGACCACCTGGTCGCCTTCCAGAGGATATACAAGGCGGCCGGCGCGTTCAAGACGCCGGAGAACGTTCTGGACGACAGCTGCCTGGACATCGAGACGCTGATCGACGAGGAGTACCAGAACGTGGACGGCGCCGAGGTCGAGTCGGTCCTGACCGGGGACGGCACCCTGGTCTCCGCCGAGACCGAGTCCGTGTACTCGGTCTCCACTGCGTACACGGCGGGGAACAAGATGTCGCGCGACTCGCGACGCAACCTGTTCGACGCGGCGTCCCGCAGCAACGTGCACGTGCGCTACGAGGTCAAGTCCAACGTACGGAAGATAACCCAGGGCGCCAAGCTGTCCACGAAGCAGGTACCTATTCGATCGCACTCGCAAATGTAAAGGGGCATATACGTCGTTGTTTTATGCTTTCTATTTGTTATAATTGAATCTGTCTACTTATTAATGATTTGGAAATATGGTATTTTTTTTAAGCAATCAGTTGTAAAACTCACGAAAGAATTCAGTTATTTTTATTGTTATATTGTTATGTTTATTCTTTTCCGAATCTATGTGTATGTGAACTGTGAAGTATAAACTGTGTATTGACACAGTTTAGAGAAAATAAATGGGTCTCCGTAACGTGACGATAATGTTTTTTGGAAGACGAATAACGTTTTCCATGACGTCGTTTATATTCGTTCTGTGATATTTATACCAACTTAAGTGGTACTGGAGTTTTAGAGAATTGTGAAATGTTAAAATTTACATGCTATTCCGCGGGCATAGTTCATTTTACTTATTTTCGGGGCCTGGAGGTGAACATAATCTTAATCTAGGTAGAACCTAGCTCAGCTTGGCTGGAATAAATATCATTAACATGCTATTCTGTGGTCATATTCTATTTTACTTCGTTGTGTGGTGTTCAGGTGACCACAATTTCGATCGAGGTAGCACTTAAAAGCTTAACTTGGTTGGTATAAATAACATTTACATGCCTTTGCGCGGTCAGTCCATTTTACTTGGTAACATTGTGTGTAGGTGAACATAATCTCGATCGAGGTAGCACTTAGAAGCTTAACTTGGTTGATGTAATTAAAATTTACATGCTATTCTGCGTAAATAGTCCATTTCACTCGGCAACGCGGCGTGCAGGTGAACATAATCTCGATCGAGCTGCTGGTGGTGGCGCACGAGTGCTTCTCGAGCGCGTGCGACACAGAGGGCGTGGCGGTGTCGCTGCGCTCGGGGCAGGCGCTCGCCGCGCGGCTGCTGGCCGCCCGCTCCTGGCGGCTCATGGTGCGGTTGCTCACCGGCCTGGCGAGATACACCGAGTGCGCGTACATCTTCCAGGTGGGAAGATGCCGTCGCCGTTTAGCGGTCCATGGGCGATGAAGTTGCAGATGTCTTCAACTTTACGAAATGCGAATGTATTAATTCCGCTTCATGTGCTCTGTCAGATGGTGGCTATTTCTGTGCCAGCTCACTCGTGCTAGAAGATGCTGCGTGCCCTCACCACATGTATTTGAAATTCTCAGAAGCCTTTTATCATATTTAGTTAGGTCACTAATAGGGTCTGTAGTTGCTTATGTACATGGTTAACGCAGATTCTCGTACAGTGCCAACGGTGTACGATTCTGGATTGTTGGAATTTTAACCTAGGTAAAAATGCACTAATCCTCTTAATCCTCGCGCGTAAACACGCAGCCACTACATAAATTCCAGGCGCTACGCGACAACCACCAGTTCGAGTTCCTGCTCGGCCAGTTCGACTACATGCTGGGGCAGCAGCCCGACAGGATCGCCGAGTTCAAGCACGGCCTTCTCGACTTCCTGAAGACACACTGCCCCGGCGACACCGACGCGTACATAATGGTCGCGCTGCACTTCAACATGCACGCCGAGGCGGCGGCCGTGAAGAGGAAGCAAGCGCTGGACCTGATCGACGACCTGGAGAGGATCGCCGCGGACGAGGCCCGCCTCTCGAAGAGGGCCGCGCCGGCTTGGGTGCTGGTCCACGACAACGTGTCCACGCGCACGCTGCTCGACACGGCGCTGGACCACTGCAGCGACGCGGCGGAGCTGTACCTGCAGGGCGGCTGCACTGGCTCCGCCGGCGAGATGGCCGCCCTGGCGCAGCAGGTGGCGTTGCAGATCTCCCTGCTGAACGCCTCCCCGACCAGGCTGATACTCAACAGGGGCACGGAGCAAATGTACGCGCTCGTCAGCGAGTATTTGAGGCGAGTCGGGTGTATTTCTCTATTTGATTTTTAGACAACACTACATAACTCCGTCCCGTTCTGCTATTGCTGTCGTGTGATATCTCTTTTTATCGTTTGTCTTTCGGTATCAAAATATTAAATGAACCTCATATATCAATGCAGAGATTCGCATTTCGCTCTTCTCTCATTTCTTCTTCTAAACCTTTTATTGAGGTTATATTTTTTGCTTTTTTTATATGAAAAGTTGCCAAACGAGCAGACGGTTCACCTCATTTTAAGTGAATACCGCCGCCGATAGACATATGCTACATCCAAGGGTTTGCGTTGCGTTGACAACCTTTTTGGAAACTGGGCTCCGGGGTGCGGCCGTTTCGTTGATAGCGATCGTTTGACGGCAGCTTCATGGAGGGCCTGGTGCTGCTGGCGGGGCGCGGGGGCGAGGCGTGGCGCGAGCTGGCCTACAGGCGCGCCCTGGCCAACGACCAGGCCTACCTCAGGGACATGGCCGCCTACAGGCCCGACGTGGCGCACGACTTCCTCAACAGGCACGCACACCGACGGATTTCTTCTAGAACACAAGTTTCAGCCATCCCCTTTGTTGTAGGAAATCATTATGCTTTTGCAGATGCGTTTATATGCGTATCGCATAGACGCCTGATACAAATATTATTTTTATACAAATATTATATACCACAGTACTTATTGTACGCGTTTGGTTGCGATACATACCTATTTTTATTTATATTCAGTGCAGCGAAAACGCTATCGCTATCACTTAAAGTAGATAATCATCGCGGCGCTGTAGCATATCATTATTTCCAACATAGATTGCCACTTAAGGATCTTTTGTCTTCGATATTTTGACGAATGTCTTCTCGAATTGAAAGCGAAGTAAAATCGTCTTAAGGACATTGTTGTATGCAAAATTAACGATATTTGAAAGGTAGAGAAGAACGTATCAAAAGCAAAACAAATATTACGATCTCCAAATAAATATATAAACAAATATTCTTGACCAATATTTTGAACGAAATTGCCATCATTTTGTGCTTATTGGATAAAGTTATGGCTATCAAAAATCCGAAAGTTTTATTGATTGTCCAATAAGTAATACGTTCGGAAATAAATTCAATTCTTACACACAAGGTAATTTTGAACATATGTACAAGTTACAAGCAACCTTCTTAATGTTGAACATATTCAATATTAAAAACTTTATTATTTTACAATAAATAATAGTTACTGTTGTTATACAGATATAACCCACAGAGCCTTAATTTAGTTTTGTTTACAGATACAAAACGGAGAAAAAGAAAACGACTGTTTCTCAAGCCGCCATGACGGAGCTTCGAAACCTTATCAGATGATATTAAAAAGTTAAATATTTACAGTGGTTAATATAAGATCTCAATGTAATGCTCATCTCTTTAGAATGTTTGTACTCCAAAGCATGTAATATTATTGTTATAAATATTATTATAATAAATTGTCGCCTTATTGTTCATATGAATCTAGTAAGATATCTATATCAACGAAATTTGTTAACTTGTTGAATTGGATATTATGTTTCTTTTATTACGGTTATTTTAAGTGCGTCGCTGTGATATTGTTATCATGTATTGACTGATGAATTATGTGTATTTTTGTAACTCGTTTAAAGTTTATTAAAACATCATCTACAAATTCTTATTTTACTTGTGCTCAGTGATTTTCTGTAAGCTTTTTTTATGTGAGGTGGCAAGCCAGCTGGCGGTTCACCTGATGTTAAATGATAACGGCCGCGCATTGATATATGCAACACCCTTAGGGTTGCACATGCGTTGCCACCTTAATAAAGTTGGCCGAGGCTACCTCACTCACCAGACGAAACGCAGAAGTGTTACACACTTCCATTTCACGCCGGTCTTCTGAGGTGGTACTGTGTGTAATACCGAAGACTTGTGTTGTCCTACCACTTATAAAAAGCGTTTTATAAATGTACCGTTTATTAACTGTGAAACGAAATTTTGGGTATAGAAACGGTATTGTCATGTTTGAAGAACGAATTTCTTGATATAAAATAATTTCTTGATCGGGTATATTATATATCTCTTACTCTCAGCTTCATTTTGTTATGCTATATTCGTATGTACTTAATTGCGAAATCGCAATATAAATAAGTACCTTTTATTGGCCTTTGGTTTTTATTGAAATCAGTTTTTGATCTTATTTCATTTCGACTAGCGACCACGACTTCGTCCGCGTGAAATTAAAAAAAAACAAAAATGAAAAAGTAAAGCCTACAGCTACTACAGCCTACTTCTTATTACATTAGCTATCTGCCAGTGAGTCGGATTAGCCGGAACAAACAGACAAAAACTGTAAAAAAAATTCGCTCATATAGAAGATATATTTTATGGTATATCATAAGCATTTAGTATAAAGCGGTTATTTTATATTACAGACTCCAATTTTATTTATCTGTATGTATAGATACAGATAGACAGTTCAAAACAAATAGCTAATGCTTTTTTTGTGGTATAAAATTTTAAAGGGTAAATTAGGAATAAAACTTGAATTTTCTTACAATACATTTTATTATAAATTAACATAAACCCAACACAAGACATCGGCCAGTGTCTAATACATAAAGTGAGAGAATATAAAGCCCTAATTTAGGGTACAAGTAAAAGAACCTCGGTTCTTCTAATACTCGAACGCAATCGAAGATAATAAGTATTGCGAAGAATTTTAAACGCATTAAGTACCAATTAGGTAGGTAGTAAATTACGAAATACTGGGAGTTATAACTTTACAAAACATCATCCTACATGTCAAAGCATACATGTAAAAGTCAACAAAACGTCAATAAATTATTAAAAAGAAAACAACGTACATAACTGGATTTCCTAAGACCCTTTAATAAAATCAAAGATAAAAAAATAGAATCTGATAGTAAATAAGTAATCATATACAATTTCATTCACTATAATAAACCAAATTTTTTTTTGAAAAATAAACTAAAAAAAATTTAAAGACTTGAATTTTAATTTGTTCAATAGGTACTATGATAAAAAAGCTAACAAAACTAATTTGATTTTACATAGTTAACAAAAATATAAATATGCCACAACAAAACAGCTTAAAGAATACACGATTATTTCCTATAAAGGCACCAGACAGTTTCATAGAAATCATAATATAATTATATTTATATATAACGAACTAAAGGCGAAAACAAATAGAAATTGGAATGTATAAAAATACCTATGTGAAGTAAATGCTGCACTACACTAATCCCAAGTAGAAAATTATTGTGGTATATTTTACCTCTTTCATATGTTATATTCAAATGAAAGTTGTTTTCATAACTCCTCCAACTTCCACACTTTTTTAATTCGTGGATTTACAATAAGAACTGTTGTTTAAAAAAATCATAACAGCTACATAAGTAAGCAGTTATAAAATAGTATCTAAAATATCGGTGAGGACGAGTGTGTCACATTTAAGAATGACGAAGAACAATCATGGATATTGAATATCTATAGTGTTGTTCCCGAATTACTTTTTGATTAAAAACACATTGAAATTTTCGTGTAATATCTGATGTCTATTTTATTAAATTTATGCAAATATGTACAGAATAGCATAGTAAAAAATATATTTTTATTTTATCTACACAGAATGATGGTAACTAAGCGGTCGAAACAAAAATATTTTATGCTATAGATATGTTGTTAACGCGCCCAAAATGGGACGTCTCGTGGTTACGCTAAGCAGGGCGACGATTAATACAGTGTCAAAAATTTTACAATAGTAAAAATACCGTCGTGTGTCATTAAAAGATGCACCTCGAGACGTTACACTTAAGCTGAAGTGATAAACAAGTAGCTTCCTCTTTTTTTTTTCTTATTTAATTACCGTCTCTTTTTACCATTCGACAATGTGTTCCGTCACTGTTTCTATATTGGAACACTGGATCGGTGATATTGTAAGAGTATAACATATCTATAGTATAAAATATGATTGGGTCTAAGTGACACGATCAAAAATAGTATATAGTTACTTTACATATGTGCCTTATACTGTATTCCAAATATTTACATTCAATGGTTATGTACACATTTCATGGATATAGGATATGCTGATAGGAAGTATTAGATTTAGTTTCGAGATTTAACAAAAATTACATAAAGATTATTTTGTATTTTCCTCATAATTGACTCCGGTAACACGGTATCCTATTCTATTATCTAGTTATTGTACTTACTGATAGTTCGCAAGTCTTATGATTTTAAAGTGCCTCTTATTACAAATGATCGTGGTTAGTAAATTGCTTTTATCAATTGAGCAAAATAAATTTTTACGTTACCATATTATTTATTAATTATAACTTAATTTCCTACGAGAGTTGAAACAAAACATTTCAAAAATTGGGTATGGAATTAACATACTACACCGTTATGTCTTTTACCTTCAATAGGCCTTACAGTAGTTTGATTCGTTTTTAAGTAGAAGATATACCAACCTTTTGACGCTAATTATTCTAAAAGCAAAATACATCAAATACTGGTTCTGGACCTGATATCTAATTCAGTTTTCCACCTTCTCCTAACACTTGTTGTTTGGAAAACATTTTACCAAAGATTACCATAATGTCACTTTAAAATACTAAAAGTTTATTTTAGACCATGTTTTTAGATAGTCATACAGGAACTACGACTCATAATTCACGTGTAACGTAGTCAATATTTAAATACAATACCTACAAATATTTACAAACTGATTCAAATTAACACCATACACTATGTATACACTACTCTTCAAACATCCATAAACATTTCACTTATTCTTTAACAATTCTCATGCTTAATCATCATCACAGTCTTCTCACATTACTTACGTCTAAGAATGCTGATTCTTATTAATAATGAAGATAGTCAAAATTTTACTGTAGGTATATACAACTTTTCTAGTTAATGTCCGATTTAATATTTACATATAATTCACGACTACGAATGATTAAAGTTGATATCAACGTCATGAATCTGCTCATATGAGTTCTGATGATTGAGATTCAAACATTACATGTTTAGGAAAATTGTTTGATTTTTACATCAATATATTTTAAAAAATACTGCAAACTTCGGCCATTGAGACGGCGACAACGACGACATGCGGCGATTAGTGTCTTTATATCATTCACTCATTCATTCCAGACTCACAGGCTGGGAAAGTAGCATATTTAATTTTTACACGACTTGAGTGACTCGATACGTGTGTTTCTCGTCCATGATCGTCTGCATTGTACGATGAACATTTTCCGGTAGATGGTCGAGTAGCATACGCGGCATCACTTGCAACTCCATAAAGTCCTCGGGGCAGGCCCACCTCATTTCATACGTCGGCTCCTGTGTACGCACTTTTCTGTAATCAATTGTATAGTGTGTAAAATATAAATAATGCTTATATTATATTTAAAGGTTAAAGATTTTCGAATTAACTTTTACCTTGCCTCGTCAGCTTCATTCCTTTTACGATGCGTGAAAATTATTTACATAATACAGCATTAGCTTTAAAAATTTCGATACAAAACTCGGAATTATATTTAATTCTTTCTTATACACTTGCGGTTTTTTACTCAATAAAACAAAATGGTTCCAATAAGTACAAAACTATGTTTTTTCCTAAATATTGGAAATTGTTCATAGATAAAAAGAGATAGATATCTTACTTTTCTATTCCCATGCGTTTGCGTCGCACGATGTGCAGGATTCGGCCAGCTGTAAAAAGGCGCGCAGTTGAAAACCGCCTCGCGAAGACATTTCTTGACACTAGCGCGGCTTCCTGAAATAATCGTAATCGTCAAATAACTGACGTTAACAGGACAATAGCAAGAATAGGATTCGGAGTAGACACAGGTCTTCATAACCGCTTACCATTAGGTGATTTTAGTGAAACAGCAACGAGTATGCGATATATAAAAAAAACTGTAGTGAATTGCTTATAATTAAATAGAAACAAACAAAACTTAAGAGATCAAAACTATCAATGGAGTTCGAGATATTTATGTGACATATTTAATTAACGTTTGGGCTGAAAATACAAAATTTATGAAATAATAATTGATTTAAAGTGGGTTATCAGGTTAGTTTATAAGCCCAATTATATATAAATACCTTTGTTGTATTTAAATTTGAAATTGATAAATCAGACATTGCGTCAACAAGCAAAACAAAACAAAATATTATCATTTTAAATCACCGATGCGGACAAGTCCAATTTTCATAAGGTTGTTAACGCATCTGGAACCCTCGGGTGTAGCAGATGTCCATGGACGGCGGTAATCACTAAGTGAATTCATCAAGTGAACCGTCCGCTCGCTTGGCAACTTTTCACATAAAAAGAATGTAAAGAAACACCTTTTCAAATGAATCATACTTATGAAACATTCTTGGTTATGTAAAACGAAGAATCGAATTGAATAATGATCTATTACAACATATTTTTGTTAATTTAATTAAATTTCTGTGACGTAAGGTTTTACAAAAACTATTAAAGTTAAGGGTACGTCAAGACCATCGAAACGAAAACTGATTAGTTGTAAACAATTTAACAGACCTGTATAAAGCAATTGAATTTAACAGCATTTGCACATTGTGGATTATAAGTAGTACGTCCACATGTTATAATTATGTGGGAAAATTGGGTCTTAGTCATCGATGAAATATAAAATATACAGCTTTATCAATTCGTCGTCCAACAACAATTTACGATTAGTATCATTGGTATGTAAAGAGGTTACATAGAGTAAATAATAAAACTTTACTAGTTATATTTAGGCCTTTAATGTGTCCTTGAAAAAAAAAACGAAACGCTTTGGTATGGTATTTTTACTTAAAAAAATGTTCAAAATAATTGCTTTAAGATAAATATGTACGTACACACTTACCTGTTTTAGCACGCACCCGTAAAGATTAATTAACATTAATTACAACTGTAACCTATATGAGAAGTTGTTAATTATATACACATGAAATGCGTTAAAACAAATCTTTAAAACACATCATAAAACATTCACAAATCAAGCAGTGGTATGTAAATATGAAAATGAAGTAATTAAAATAAAACAATGTTATAACAGAAAAGTCATGTCCGTGTTACATATGTTCATACTATTTTTATATTTGCCAAGTAACGTTCTTTAATCATGAAAGTACTGCAATCAAATTGACTTGATTTAGATGGAGTACAATTCAGATGGAATGTTGAATAAATACATCAAGTAACAAATTTAGATATTGTTGGTAAGTCACTCTAAAGCACTCACAACAGTCAATTTAAAGTAAATATTTGTCTCTTAGACACTGCCTTTTCTTAATAATAATAATAAATAATTTTAATAATGATGTTATAAAGGAAGTGAATAACAAATTATATAAACGGTTTTGCTTAAAAACATTGTTCAGTGTTAAATGTTATTTTACAGTGGAGCTTATCGTACCTTACCGTGTATTTAAAATGATCACCACCTACCGATGAAAGTGAAGGAATCTCGGAGAATATTATGAACGTCACAGCTTCTTTCTCAATACTCTCTGTATGTATAACCTCAAATAAACAGTCGCATTTGACATAAAAACGTGCAGATTAAACTGTCGCAATTTTTCTGTAATAATAAATAATTTCTCAATAATCATCCCTTTCACAGACATATACTTCACACTGTCCATCCAGGTCTTTTTCGGCCTTCCCCTAGTTTTACACCCTCCAACCACATTCATTTCTATTCACATGACTTTCATACCTGACCCACCTACGACTCCTTATACCAGGGGGAAATAACTGAAAAAACAACATGGTTCCGCAAGCATCATCACAAATAGGGAATCAAATATGATCACACGATCTGTGTGTCCGTTCAAGTCGGCATTCCGAGATTCCGTCACGTGAAAGCGCACCAAAAACACCAAGCGGCGAATCAAAGCGGCGACCATCAAAGGCGACGGCACAGCACACGGCAGCTGGTAGAAAGGGCTCAACTGACAGCACTCACGGTGGAGACGCCCTGCACTAGCAGCGCGTCGGAGTCGTCCGAGTTGTTCGCCTCCAGCTCCTCGGGGCGGCGCCACGTGGACTCCAGGTCCCGCGCCGGCACGCCGAACAGCGCGTAGCCGAAACCGTTCAGCATTATCCGATACTGTAAGCGACCTTTTTATTAATAACAAAACCAAGAATGTTTCATACTATAGACGCATGTCCATACTGTGCGGTGTTTAAAGATTTTTCCGCTTTACATTATATGACATAAAGTGAATGTGACAGATGATATAGAATGTACGATACGGTAAGTGATAGCAGTCTATAGAATAGGAATCTAATTACACCAATTTGAGTGCTAAATTATTAAATTCTGAGTTGTAAGAACGTTTTACAAACATAAATTTCATGTGGATGAACGCCTAGATGCGAAACAACTGTGGATCACACAAATAGTTGTTCCGTGTGGGAATCGAACCCACGACTCCCGATGCCAAAGCCAATAAATACTTTAGAGACTACGTCAGGGCGTCATCCGGATCTGGGTGTTTGATCCCAAGGCAACGTCAGGCAGTTGAATACGTGCCTTTTGGAGTGATGGAAGGGTATTAAATAATTAGTTGTAAATTAGGCACTGTACGTGAACTCTACACAACAGTGAAACAATTATAATGTAATTAGAATCTGTAAATATTACTGACTTTTTATAACGCTTTTTGGAAAAATATATATATATATATTACAAATGAATGTAAAAGGAATGAATGTAAAAACAATAGGCGGACTTATCGCTCAGAAAGCGATTTCTTCTAAACAACCATTGCGAAAAGAATATTTGCTAATGAGATATAAAGAAGAGAGCAGAGGGAGATGTGCATGAATCACTTACAAACATTCTTCTTATACATTGGCTACTATTTGTGTCATGAATTTATTTTAACAAGATCTTTAAACAAACCTGTAACATATTTTTGGCTAAATATAACATGTACAATTTCATAAAGTAATGTAGGCAAAAGGAGAAATACCTTAGGCAGTTTCGTAGCGTGTATGGTCTGTATGACTTTGGTACGCAGGTTCTCTATACTGTGCACGCTAAGACGCATCACCAGGTCATCACCGACCCCAATAGTGAGCACGAAGCTCTCAGTGAACCGTGCTGCCTCGCGACTAATTAAGCCCGCTGGAAATTTCAGATTTTGTTATGTAAATCGATCATGACTCGAGTCGAGTCGTCGTAGCAACAGTTCTTTTGGTATTTTTCTAGTTTACCAATAAGGATATAAGCATATATTCAATATTATAAGGTACTCCCAGATTTATTATACTTTATAATATTGTTGATAATTTGTACGGTGCGCATATGTTCCAAATGAAACGGTTGTTTAAAAAATTTCATTGCCAGTACAGATTTCTTTAATAATTTTTTTTCACTGAGAAGTTTATTTAATGTGAGAAATGCGACTGGCTTGATGTACTTAACTATTAATATCTCTATTCGTCAGTCCTTTTTCATTCCTCTTTTCCATAATTATGTTTAAAGTACCCAATCAAATGGTATGTATATCTGTGTCTAAGCAAGTAATGCTTTAAATAAATGATAGGAACAACTTTGCATATATTTGACGCGGGAAATTAATTATATAATGTATACGTAACATCACGTTGAAACTTTCAACACAGAGCGCTGTAATTAAAGTAAATATTGTTGTCATAAATGAAAGCTATTGTTGTGCTTACCTGGTGTTGAGAACGCAAATACTTTTAGATGGGGATATCTCGGTCTTAATTTCAGCGCCACCAACACCGCCACACCAGCTCCAAGACTATGACCTACCAAAAAATGGTCGTACCATATTAAACCAGTAGCACTTTTGAAGCCAACAAAAAGGAAAAAAAGTTTTACTAGTTTTTTTTATTATACCAAGACATTTCGTAAAATTGCTTGACAATTACGTAAACACCGATTTTTTCCACAATCATAAAAAAGTCACACTTTAAGGCGGTCTCACCTGTGAGCACAAGGTCGTAATGTGGAAATTGCTGGAACGCGCGGTCCAGAACTGGCATAAGACGCCTTAACATTTTTGCGGCACCCATTGACATGCCCTTGTGGGCTGCCGTATCCTCTGGCAATCCTTAATTACAAAAATGGGAATACATATTTATTTAGAGAAAAACAAGACTAACGTCATCGATAAATCTAACCACTTTCTCTGCTCTCAATAAATATATTTTTATTATACTACAGGACTACTTCTATATAAATTTGACAAGGTTCTAATAGGTTAGACAAAATCATGAAACTTTAATTGTCATCGTATGCACGATGAGACGATTTTTTTAATTCTTATAAATATTAATCGTAGCATTTTTTGGTGTCGGTTTTTATTTATGACTATAGTATTGAAAACTTAACTTGTAAAATGAGATTTAACTATTCTCTTTGTAGATAACATAATGAATAAAACATTAATGATTTGTATTAGTTATGTCAGGTGGAGTGGTGTGCATACTTTATAAATACAATAACTTCTTTGTTTAGTAATTTAAAGATACAATAAAAAGAACTGTTAATCTTTTTATGCTGTTAGAATGCTAGAAACAATAAAAGTTAATAGATGTAAATGACGATAGTCATGCATGCATAAAAATATTATCCTTAATGCATTTTTCATTTTGAAATAACATTAATTGTTTATATATTGCTAGACATTTAATTTCTCTGAAGTTTGATCATAAATATGTCAATTAAAATAATTAAACCAATATAGATTTGTAATTAAATAAAAATTACAAACACTATAATTTACTATGAATTTTATAAAATTTGATCAGACATTAAAACAATGAGAATGAAATTATCGAACTCGAAAGTAGGTTTTTATTAACAAAATTTAAATTCAATATCTATATCAAAAAATATGTGTTCGAAAATATTTATGTATGTAGTGGAGTTATACCTTTGAGTGAGTGAATTTGAGTCAGCAATTTGCAACACAAATTGGAAAAGTTGCTTTTTGATATATTTTTTTGCCTTTTCTATTATAACAATAAATGAAGTGAAAACCGCTGTCTTACCATCGGCCTCGAACTTTTCCGAACCGGCGGTGAAATCAGTGAAAATGTCCCTCAAAGATATAGACCCCCGCACAGCTACGACAATGCTCTCCCGATCATGGTCCGCTATAACGCAGAAAGGAAGCTGAAATTTTTCAAATAAATATATAGAATAAAATAATTGCATAAAATTCTTATCAATAAAACAAAAATAAGAAGAAGGAAACGTAAGTTTAGTAAGATTTTTTTATTGATGATAATTTAATTTAGTTGAGGCTAGAGCAAATAAATTTTACAACATTTTTGACGCGGATTCTTGTAAGTAAATATTAAATTTAATTTCATAGAAAATTTCAAAGTATTGTTATTGCCGTTTAGCGGTCTCGAATATAGAGAAGTGCAAAAGCACCAAAATTATTACGTTTTATGAGGAGGGTTGCGGCCGATGCCTCGCGCCTTAGATTTAATGTGAGTCCTTCGGTCGTCACAATGATTTGGCAATGCTATTACGAGGTCAGTTCCGAAAATAGAAGGTGATTCTGGGAGTAAGGCATAGCCTAGGGGATGGTCGTATTTTGGTGAGCCAAGCAAATCTTCGTTTGTAGAAATCTCAAAATATGTCCAAATGATGCACGGTCAAGAGTAGACTTCGCTCATATCTTCCGGTCCGCGGTCGTCATTTACTCAGTGAATTACTATTTCGTACGATGCTAAACCGTGGTTTAGTATTACGCGAAATTGTGTGTCACGGACCCATGAGTATGGTATGGTTCTCCGATGAAGCTACGAGATCTCCGTACGGTTAAGACCCACATAGATTGGCCAACTCGAAGTCGCGACCGCCATGTCATAGACCATGAGTAAGGCATTCTGATGGACGAGTGTCAATAGTGTAGCAGCTCCAAGGTGACTCCACTGGTCGTCTACGATTAAAGAAAGTTACAACCGCGAAGCGGGAACGTATTCCGCAAGAAACCATTAGGGATGATCTCGCCCATACGAATGAAAGCTGTGATTTCAGCAAGAGTGACCGCACTTCTCACAGTGAAAACTTTTATCTACTTTTTAATTAAGAAAAAGCTATCAAATAAAAGTATTACAGATTTGCCTAGGGAGCCGGTAATCTACTAGGGTTTTTTTAAATTATTACTCGTTAATTTGATATTAAAACTGTTATGATAAAATGGACGAAACCTTGCTTATTATATCACCTAAAGCATAAATTAAAAAATATCAACAGTGTTCAAAAAATATTATTATATCTTCCAGGTCAAAAGATATGAAGCTATTTATATATTAGACAATACTCGGATGATTTACAAAACAGTTCTATAACGAACGCATATTCCCAGTTTTGATTCAATTGTAAGCTAAAAGAATAAAAACACAATGGAAAGTCCGTCTTGAAATTACGAAAGGAAAACTCACTTCAAAGACGCGATTATTGAAGGAGGCAAAGATTATATCGTCCGCCGAGAGCTTTGACATGTACTTGACGCCGGCGAAGTGGCAAAGGCAGCAATTGTCGTCCGTTACGATTGAGTTTTTAGGCCTGAAAAGAAATTTGGCTTAGTGTTCCAAACGTCATCGAAATTAATCAAAAATGCTTTACATCCTAAAAATGAACCGAGGATAACTGTTAATAACTTTCATAACGTTTGAATGATTCTCGTGCTGTTGTCGTTGAGATGATGTTCTGAATTCTTTTAAGTTTCTATGTTCGGAATCAATTCATAACGATCCTTTTTTTTTCATAAAAAAGAATCAAAACCTCTTTATGGCATTCATGACATGAGATATATTAAGCTAGTGAGCACGTCTGTCCAGGTACCGCGACTTCACGGCAGACCGGCGTTAAGTGGAGGTGTTATATTTCTGCGTTTTGTCTGATGAGTGCTGTCTGGTAGCCGGGACCCACTTTATTAAATTTTGGCAACGCATCTGCAACCCAATGGGCGTTAGAAATGTTAACGGACGGAGGTAAAATCTTGCTATCATTGCCACCTTCTCACATAAAAAAAACTAAGTAAAACAGTTACTATTAGATTCTTATTTCATTCCATTCAACGGAAAACCTACCGACAGCAGCAACACGTCAGATGTTTGGCGAGTTTGCAAAATCCGGTAAAACAGTGGCGATAAAGCACGTAGGGCCAACCGTACGCCGCAATTGATAGCCTGAGGTAGTGCAGAGCGTCCTCCAGGTTCATCCAAGGGGGCGTCTCCGAGAAAACTTTGTTCACGTCCGTGGTGTATATGGGCTCTTCGTCGTTCAACATCTGTATCCGGCGCATTTCCCTCGTCTCCCGCTTCTGACGCACCCTTAGGAGCACGCAGCCAGCCACGACGTCTGACGGCACAAGGTCCGTCGACCTGAACAGAGCGCTGAGCAGAGCTGAAAGCAAATTAATGATTGAGGCAGCCGTAATTCGAACAAGATGAACGCGGAAGCAACGACCTCTGAATATTTCGTTCTCCTTCATAATTGACGAGAAACGTCTAAACTACTTAGCGTTAACGCGACATTGACCCAAAAAAGAAAGTTGGGCAAAAGTATATACCAAAATTTCCGAGATATTTTCGATTTCTTAGTAGCGTGACTTTCTGATTTATTATGATTTATCGGGCCAAGGACTCAGGTCAGTTGTTTGTTTTGTTTTTTGTCGCCGCTGAGCGATTAGAAATTAGGTCCAGATTCTGAGGTTGATATTGAGTTTCTTAAATATTTGTACTCCACAAATTTGGTGATTTTTCTATTAAACTACATAAATAGGTGTTGGGATTTCCATTTTACGATGATAAATTAAATTACGGTTAGTACATTGACATATACATTTTATATTTGCTAGTCTCTGCACTCAAAATGAAAATTGAAATTATGAATTTCTGTAGATTAATGTCTACCTACAAAAATGTATAATTTAAAGACAGATATATTGTTAATGTAGATACGCTGCAATTTATCAGCATCAACTATATGATAATTTTAATGGTTTAAGAATATCTAACTTTTAACTGATACTAATTTATCCCAATCTTTATTGACACACCCACCGAGAGCGTATCATTTGAATATCATCCTCTCTAATAATGTAAAATATATAAAATACAGTGTCTATGTATGTATGTTTATGGTATATGTATGTTTAATACAATTTACTCACCAATGAAATTGTATTTAAGTGCTGACTTATTACATGCTCGGTGGTGAAGGAAAAAATCGTGAGGAAGCCTGCATATTTTCGAAATAATAATAAAAAAATTCGCCAATCCCCTCATTCCATGGGGTCGGGTGATGCCTTGATACCCTCTTCACAGAGGAGGCCTCTGCCCAGCAGTGTAACTTTTATTGGCTGTTACTATACTTTTACAACTTTTTTATAAAATACCTTGTTCATAATAAATATTTCCCAAATCCGGTCCTATTTATAATAAAATACTGAACACTTCCTTATGAAACTTTAATACACGTATCGTTTTATTAAAAAAAATTACGTAACAAAATTTATTGAATTTTCATTAGGTCTCCTAAATTTCTTAAATTTATTATATATACTCAAAATTAATGATGTTATGCAAATTTAAAATAAGAAAAACTTAAAAGCTTTGTTATAGCTATGTCATAATGATGCAATCTAGTGAAAATGAACGTTAATAATTTTATCTTGACTGTCTTCAATGTTACAGTTACGCTTACACTTTTACTACACGCAAAGACTTGAACGTTTGTTAAAGATTCTTTCGTTGGGCCCATCTTATTTAAGTTATGTAGGTACTATACTACATTTAAGAGACATTAGATTGAAATCCTTACCTGCTACTTGTTGGAACGCCTCTTTGCCGTGCTCGTCCCTCTTCAGCCAGCAAAAGGCCCATCGGAACCTTCTCGACCACAGGCCTGTTACCTTTCTGTGGTGTCTAGCTTGATTCGGCGTGTCTTGCATGTCGTCGTAGTTCACTGACCCCAACGGATCGAACACCATGAAAAGCCCGAAAACCGTGAGCGCCAGCTGGACCCAGTTGAAAAGTACAATACCTACAATAAGTTGGGAACAATGATGACTCGGTGGCGCAGTTGCTAAGCTGCGGCGGTCGCGGTCTCGATTCCCACATGGGACAAGTCCCGTTCGGGAATGACGTCATATAGGCGACTGTTTTTTTTTTATGGAGAAAAGGGGCAAACGTGCAGAAGGCTCTCCGGATAAGTGATTACCGCTGCCCATTAACACCTGTAACACCCGAGGGCATACAAATGCAGTACCGGCTTTTTAGGAAAGAGTATGCTCTCTTCTTGTAGGTTCCCAGGTCGTAATGGTAAAAAATTAAAACTAAAAAAACCCTATCCAGTACCATTAAAATATGCTTCAAATTTGTTTTGCCGACCCCACCTAAGTGGGGATATGGGCAGGAGTAAGAAAAAATGGGAAAAAATGAGAATGTTTTCTAATTACTAATTATGAACGCAACAATGATTGGGATCGGGAACTTACTCTGTATTACTATGCTGGAGAATTTGTCATTCACCGAGCACTCGATAACTTCGCAGAACATCCACATTGTTCCCATTACATTTAATGCTATTTCGGGTAACACCAACAAAACCCTGCAAACAGAACATAAAAACAATTTCTAAATTATTTACTGGTCGAGCTACTCAACAGCTTTTGTAGGTATATTAATGGCCCTGAGAGCATCGTTCGGGGAAAATCCAGCGCCTCGCAGAAGACCGACACTGAGTAAAGTTTTTTTTTGAATAATTAGTGCTATTTGCGACGTGATGACTTGGAAGCTACGTAGCTAAGCTATAGGATTCAGCGGGAGAGGGGTTTCGATTCCCAACGAGATAATTATTTCTGTGACCCATAGCTAATTGTTACGGATTTGGGGGTTATTCCCAAAATATTGGGGGGTTTGGGGTTGGGGAGGGTAGACGTCAATCAGGCGGCCGGTTGTATAAGAACCTCGCCGATGTAAATTGACAACTTGATTGACATTGCCGATGCCACCTAGGTTGGGATACGAGTACGATAAAGAAGGGTTCTGTATCATTATCTATAAAAAATAGCCAAAAAAAATTATGTCTGTTGTATAGGCCCCACTTAAGGGTACGGATCCCTAAAAATAGGTATTTTTAGGGTTTTTGGAAGCAGATGAGAACAATGTGACATTTGATAGATATGTTATGAGAAAATTATATCAACACAAAGTATTCATTAATCAAATCCAAAGTTTATGATCTCAAGTCCCAGTTTGCGCTTGAAATAGAATACGTGCTTTGTTGAGGATCCGCGGGATTTCAGTTTCTTGGGTATTATTAAATGTTAGCTATGCAGTGAGGTATGTATATATGGAAATTTTTATTTTTCGGCAACGTATGTTTTTAGCTTATAAATATTTTTTATTGACAGAGAAACATTTCTGACACTATATTTACAAATAAAGAGCTTTTAATTTAATTAAATGATATTAATAACACAGTTCTGCCAGCATGAAAAACAAACGGAATCAGATTTTTTTTAAGTTGAGCACTAATGCAACAACACGACCAGATGATAATATAATACAGTCAAAATGCTATTATTTCTAAAATATTTACGTTTTATAGATTTTTCATTAAGAGTTCTCGAACTTTGAAATGATAGAGAACAAACTGGCTAAGTATTTACATATTTTATTGTAAAATAATTCACATTATGCATGGAATATGCCACGACTCCAGGTGAAGACATCCTAGTTGGCTTATTCTTGACGGCATCTTCACATAAATTCTGAATTTCATGAAGCACGCGAGTTTCACATATCTAAACGAAAGTAGACTGATGTTAAGTCACACTACCTGTCGAAATGGCTATCGAACCAGTTGATGTCATTATGCCAAATTACGAACAGTTGAAACAGTTCAGTGTTTCTCACGGAGCGCCGTGTAACCACATGTTTGTGATGACTATACCATTTATCCTAGGAAATAACTTGAGCATCTTCTAAGAAATAATGGCTGATTACGCAAACGGACCATAATCCACACCAAAAATTGACCGTATCGAAGTGAAGAGGCACTTCCGAATCTCCTGTCGATTTTTATAGTTTAATTCGGTAATAGCTTTGTTTTGTGAAGTTTCTTTTTAACACTTTTTATGCGTTCAATGCATAAAATTAATTTATTAGCTACATTTACTCTGGTGCAATATTACTTTACGGTTAACCAGATACTTACTTTAAAAGCAGCAACGGAGCGACCATCTTTCTCGCGTCGACGTCAGTTATGGTGCCTTTGGCTGACTGTTGCGCCAGGGCTGCCAATAATAGCATCAGCACCGCTTGAAGCGCAAGCGTACCACAAAGATAAAGCCGCACGAAAGCCCCACCGTGCCAACCCTCGGTTTGACATTTCCACGTTATTGGAATGAGGACTTCCACGACCAACGCAATTAAGACCAGCCTGGGGACAAAAGATTTTGATAAGATTTGGTACCTACATTAATGGGTAAACCTGGTCGGTAAATAAAATAAAGCTCATCAGAAGGGCGGTCGTAAAACTCGAAGATAAGATGTTTCGGTTAAATTTGTTTTCAACTTCTTTAACATTATTCGTGCTTTATTTGTTTTCATTTTATCTTTACTTTAGCTGCGTTTATACGAAAGATGCTGACTCAGATAACTTAAATATAGATAAATATCAATTACTCCGAGTAGCTTATTTTCTTCAAATTCTAATATATTTATACCAATATGAATCAAAATTAGTTCTGCGGTTCGGATGCTTCTAGCGTTAAACGATCATTAACCAAAACTGGATTAGGGACAAAATTAAATGTCATCTGCGTCTCTTGTCATTAACTGATCCGATGGGCGTAGTTGATAGTGAATCTGTCTTTTGCGCCACAAGGTGTGGTTTCGATCCTTCCTTTTTCATGTGAAGAAACGTTGTTAAGCCGCTCGCTTAACAACTTTCGTTTGATGATGTTAACTGAATATCGCCGCCCATGGACATCTGGGGGCCTGGAGGATTGTCATTATGTTGACAACCTTTAAAAAAAGTCGGCCCCGTTTACCTCACTCACCAGACGAAATGCGAAAGTATAATGCTTCCACTACACGCTGGACTTCTGCGAGTCCGTGGTACTACCTACCGATTCGTGAAACAGCAGAAGTATTTGCGTGGTCCTACCAGAGTAAGACTAATAGTTTAAAATTATTATCAAATGAACATGCATTTTACTGGTGATTGGGTGTATACATATCAATAATATGTATTTATTTACAAAAAATAATATGCCTGGGAATGTTTATCGGTTACGTAGTTCTCACAGTACAAGCTTTGCTTTAGATTAGGTAAAGTTGTGTAAAAATATTTATTTATTTCTTTATTGTACTGCATTTTTTAATAAACACTAAAAGCAAAACATCGAAGTTGTAGAAAGATAAGGAAGAAAATGTCCCGCTGAGTTTCTTACGCCGGTTCTTCTCAGGTCAGTGGCTTTCCTTTCGAACCGGTGGTAGAATTTTTGACTATCAATAAGTAAGTGAATGCTTCTATATTGAATAAAGATATTTGACTTTGACTTTGCAAAAAGGGTAACATTTAAAACATGTAGAAAAAGTACGAAAAGATTGTCGCCGCTGTGGAATCGAACCCACGTCTTCGGCATTCGCGGCCTGACGCTCTAGCCACTGAGGTAAACGGCTGATAACCACAGCGACGAAAACCTTAATATTAACTGTAACTTTTTAATGTTCAATCTTAAGTGCAAAGATTAGCACTATAAAAAACTTTAAAATTTATAAAAAGCAATGGCGACATCTCTCGTTCGAATTATCGTTGTAAAACGATATTCGAAATTATTTGTATGCTGGAAAGGATATAACAATAGATGCGTCAAGCATTCATGCTAAATAACAATGTAGAAAGAAGGCGTCAAGGTTTTCGTCGCTGTGGTTATACAGCGGCGACAATCTTTTCGTACTTTTTCTACATGTTTTAATGTTCAATCTTAAGTGCAGAGATTAGCACTATAAAAAACTTTAAAATTTAGGGTTGGAAAATTATTTCGACCTGTGTTACTTATGGATCACTGAGAAGTGTCTACTTCTAAAAAGGTTAACGCCCGGTTTCAAAAACACTGATCACCGCAGAAGTTATTTAATGATCAGAATGATCAATTCAAAGAGTTTAACCATCCTTTTGGCAACTTAAATGAAATGACAGTCATTTGACAGTTGATTAGTAAACTTCTACGATGATCAGTGTTTCAGAAACCGGGCGTAAGTCTCCCGTAGCGCGCGGCGAGTAATAAAGGCAATCAAAGAGACGTCGCAACAATTTAAAATCCATTACAGAGTAATCAGAGCCGAGTTTTCAAGGTTGAAGCGGTCATTGTATCAAAAATGTTTCTTATAACCGTCCATATGCACGAAAAAGTTCCATAGCGTTTTTGTGAAATGAAAATATTACAGACAAAGAAGCAGTGCTTAAATAAATAAGATGCGCATTTATTATCTACATACAAACTTATTTAAATTGAATATTTCAACACTAATATTATAAATGTTTAATGTGTTGACAGAATTCAAATGCGCTAGTAGTTTAAGTTTTTTTTTGTGGTTTTAGGTTGTAGAATCAACCATTATTTTGTGGAAGGTATATGTGTTTTTTAATTATCTTACCTTGAATCTAAATAAGAATTGTTTCATAAAATGAAGTATATTTCAAAAACGATGGAGCTTGACAAAGGGGCCAATAAAGCTACAATACCATTAGCATTTTATCCATTAGCCAAATTAAATGCAAACAATATTCAAGTAATATATATATATCGATACATTTTTAACCTTTTCAGACAAATTCAGTTTATTTTTTTGATATTACATATTTGATTTAATAATAGCAAAAGGGGTTATAGAATATACCTTTTTATTAAAACTTATACAAGTTATTGACCATTATAACATAAAATTCGATCATTTGTTTAAAAAAATACTACATTTATATGTACACAAACATATTAAATTCTACATACAGCGGTAAAAAATTTAATCTATTTTACGTTCGGTCCACTGCCGCCTAAACCTGAAATGCTTGACGTACATAACAACAGTCGTTTTCCAAATAGAAAAAGCAACGTCTAAAATAGTTTTGTAATAGTTCCCTAATAACAAAATTGTTAAAACAGATACCTAATAGCTTTAGCACATAATGAAAGACAAAATGTGCCGTTAAATATATAAAAACTGTATTGAAAACTGATTCCACTTTTTACATAAACCGTAAGCAGTGACAGAAAATTAAATATGGTTACGTTTAAATAAAAAGGCAAAGCAATTCATGCGGCAAAGTAATTTAACTGAAGTGGTTTTAAAAATTGCGCAGAGATAAACTTTAAAATTGAAGAGATGGGATTTATTCAATTTCAGTCTCACGTGTTGAGACGAATTGAAAAAAAAAAAAAAAAAACATAAATCATACTTTGAGGCCACTTATCCAATTTAACGTTGACTGTTAAATAAAACGAGTACCAAGTCACTTACGAGGATGTTATAAATGAGTTTGTAATTCATACAGTGCGTGTTCCATTCCAAAATAATTACAAATGGTATTTACAGAATTTGTATAGATTTTGAAATTATTATTTTAAGTTACAATCTTTTTCATCATCAATCTTAGTTGAAAGGTTTACAAAAAATAAGTAGGTATTTCATTAAGAATGCAGATCGAAAAGCACAAGAATAAGGGTACGCTGTCCGATTGCTAAATAAGGGATCCTTTTATTTTGTACATGATGTAAGAACATGTGAAAAAATTCTAGACCCCATTGTAAATACTATAAACGATACAGAAAATATTGTCAGAAAAAAAATCATCAGTACACTATTTTTATTAAAACAACATTGGTATGTTTTTAAATATATTTATATATTTCTCAGAGGAACAAATTTGTTTCATGCAGAAGGTGACGATTTCAAATAAGATTAAAATTTGGCACGTTTCTTTTACGTTTTATGTCACCTTTGTTATCAGAATCGCCTTCAGAATTGGAGCTGTTCAATATCACCAGCACCACTTTGGTAAACACTAACTGTGCGACACTTTTCGCATCTGACATCCGAAAGAGTGTTAATTTGCTTAATAAAAGGGTATTTTGTTTGTAGGTTGGCATTAAATGAACACTTGGATTTCGGCATAACTATAGGAAAAATTTCAAAACAACCAAACTTCAAATTATTTACAAAACTATTTAACGAACATACTAAAATAGCATAAAGAAGTCACAATACGTGCGCGTGGTAAGCCTGAAATTAAAGTGAATTGAAAGTAAAACATGCGGCGATAACTGGGAATAACCGATCGCGGTTCCGCGCTGCTCATGATCATGTCTGACGAGCGTGGTTTTAAAATTTCCGCGATTTCGGAAATCGGCACAATTTTGCGTCCCGAAGATTTGTTCGGGGACAAAGGGACAGCTGTCCGAAAAAAGGGACAGTCCCGGTCAAAACGGGACGTATGGTCAGTTTAAATACGAGTGATACTGTTGAAACAAGCATACACAAGACTATGCGTTATTCTCAAACTGAGCTAGCATAAATTCCTTTACGAGTAAAGAAGTTATCTTTATTGCGTCATCGCAACCACCACATTTGTATAATCAGCGCTACACGAGTTACATACAATCAAATGACATACCAAACGAATCGGAATAGTAGCTCGAAGATACTTGGGAATACGAGATCGTCGGAGGCCGCCAGCCATTTGCGCCCGAGCAGCCGGAGCGCCGGCATCCTGCAAGGTAAATCAGGCCTTAAGTTCCTTGTTCCTTAAGTTGAAATTGCGGTACGCGACATTAACACAAAAACAGTAGTCAAAGCTTCTGAAATTTCAGTATTACGTAAAGAAAGTCAACGGAGGAGTGTATGGTTTTATTCGGGGATTGTAGTCGGAAAGAACAGAATAAAATGAAATTAATTTTTTCTCTTTAGGTTGACTACGTATATCGTGTTAATAGATAAATATAGAACATGTAGAAAAATAAGAGGTGCAGGATAAGACAAATCTACAGGACTTAATATTTAACGCTTATGAGCAAACATAAATTACAAAAGGAGGGTGTAAACACAAACCCAAGTTCAGCTGGATAATCTTTTGTTCAAACGACCTTTAATAGTAACATATATATTTATATAAGAATTATTGTTCGCAGTGTCACTGATGTTAACTAGCTCCCTACCTAAATATTTCAATTTATTTTTATCGGATTGGTAGACGGGCTTCATTGATACAAACATTTTTTTTATGTAAAAAAATGTCAAGCGAGTCAAGAAGTAATAACCGTTGCCCATGGACATTTGCAACACCCCTAGGGTTGCAAATGCGTTGGACCTTTAATAAAGTGGGCCCCGGTTACCTCACCCACCAGACGAAACGCAGAAGTGTAACACTTCTACTTTACGCCAGTCTTCTGTACCCATTCAGTTTTCACTGTAGCGCGGCCTGACCACAGCTTTTTTCTTTACAAAATAAAGGATACGTTTTAAGACAAACAGAAGGTATTATAGTACTTTTTAATTGTATAAGTGAAATGTTATTAGAATGGCTTTGACTAATATAGCGCGAATGACACAGTAATATTGTATCATATGAGTCACTACTTTATTATTACTTACTTTTCGTTATAAATATTATTGTTAAAATTTGTTTATAAATAAATCATATCATAATGTTTTACTACGATAAGTTTGATTTGTTATTTCGTTTTTACGAAAGGTTTTAGTTGATTCGTAGATATAAATAAGGCTATAAAATTGAAGACATGAGTGGATGAAGGGGATATAATACAATTTGTAAATGTTGAGAAAACGGACATCAAAGTTTTGTTGCTTGTTTTTGAGATAAATCGTTTTTCTTTTTGATTATTTAGTAACTATTTATGTCAAATTATTAATTAATATGGATTGGAAAAATAAGATGAATAAAAAATAAGAGAAGAATATGTATTTATTGAAAAAAAAAATGTACATAACTCCTTCATTCATTTCTTGATAATAAAGAAGTTTCATATTTAATTTACGGATGAATGAATTAACTACATAATTAACGTAATAAAACCAAAAAAAATTACATGTGTATCGGGTTAATCTGGACCTACAAAGTGTTCATAATTCCGGTTTCAAAAATGTTATCTGTTCTTTGATATTAGCTTTCTTTTCTTCAGAAATTGTACCATATTTTCTTTGTACCCGTTCAACTAAAAAGTACTACTTGTCCTCTTTTTTTAATATATCCACTTTTCTAAAAGGCATGTTTTCATCATAACTTTCTTTGTATAAGTAGGCACTGAATTCTTCTACCCCTATCCACTGAATACCGTCCCTGAAATTAACCCTTGATTGCTCAGGCGTATACATTGCCTCATGCTTGCGCATGATCTTTTCGATACGACCAAAATCTCTATCAGAGTCCAGGTAAGAATGACCGACATAGGGAAATTTGTGGTCAATGATTTTAAAATAACCCTTCATGATCATGTCTTGGTAGATAATTTTTTATTCTGTCCAGCACAGGAGTCCGACCATCTAAATAAATGATTTTTTTTTTGCGACAAGATGGATCCACTTCAACAAATCTTAGTAGGGAACTAGCATCTTCAACAATACTTCTGTCGGCTACATCTTCTGTCCACAGCTTTTTGTTTGGTCTGGTCCCTAACATGGATGCCCAGATTATAATAAAATTCCGTATAATATTAACAAAGAAACCGGCTTCAAACCGGAAACTAAAAAACATTATTAATACTAATAACATTTGAGGATTGCCCTCGATTTCTCTGAGATTCCATCATCAGATCTGGGTTAACTTATCATGGTACCACTCTTGGGATATCTCCTTTCCAACAAAAAAGAATCATCAAAATTGGTTCATAAACGATGAAGTTATCCGCGAATACATATAAAAAATATATACGGCCGAATTCACCTCCTCCTTTTTGAAGTCTGTTAATAAAACCATATCTGGCGAAAATAGAATGCCTTAGAAGTCGGTATTTTAGGAAGTGGCATGGTGTGTAAGTCTACTGTGAGGTATAATAATCCATTGTTTTTTTTGGGTCAATCTGTTGTAATGGCTTCAATCGCAGCGTGGTAATTCAAATGAAAAGCATGTATCAGCTTTTCATTTGAATTTCTAGCATCATAAGTTGCACATGGGGTATCCAAAAGAGAGATTAAATTCAGTAACGAAAACTTTTTTATAATTATGTACTTTTCTTAATTTTATATTTTGCCGGTAATTTCAACTTCTCAAACATCGTTAAATAAAGTTCGTGCATTTTAGTGACTTTTAAAAGTGGTGACAAATAACTTTTGTATATATTTTTGTTACGTGAGTATTGAGACTGTTCCGCCGGAAAGGTTGACATACGCAGTTTTTTGCGTACCTCTTCATCCGTTTTATGGGGACGATTATTGTGTCTGCCTTATCTATCTGGAAGTGGAACAGAAGCGCCACTGTTGATTTTGTGGATTATAATATCCACCTTCTTGCGCGATATTTGTTACAGACCACACAATCCCAATTAGCAAACCTCTGTTGTTATGCTTTTGTTTTTTTATAATATATTTGTATGTCGCAGACTTATTTTTTGAACATAATACGAAACATGATACGAAATGGAAGAAAGAGACAAGTACATCACATAACACCTTCATCCAGAACAACGCAAAGCCCGCGCGTGTTTTCTGGCACTTACCTCATTCATCCGTGCAAGAAAGTAATATACTTATATAATTTTAAATTAAAAAATATGCTAAGTGCCCATGCCACTTTCTTTCATTGTGAATATTATTTTATGTTGGTACATAACCCCTTCATCACTTGCTATCTCTAAAACTAAGCTCAAACAGCGGTGTTTTAAGGTTTAATATAGTTTTTAAGCACATAACACCTTCATTCGATGCAAAAAACAGATTTTTTAAAAAATGTCACATAACCCCTTCATCCACTCATGTCTTCTAATTATGAAAGCGAAAATAATAATTATTCGATGTACATATTCAATTATGGAGTAGAAACGGAGATTTTAATTACAAGTTTTGCTGTAGGACAGACTGGACGTGTATAACTGTATAATATCAAGTGTTCAAAATGTCGCAATAAATTTTATCATTGTGATGATTCCTTCCCCCCCCTACGTTCTACATTATAATTATATTATTTGTTAGAGTTTCGTTTTCTAGGTAATTCAACAGATAATTACAAAAGATTTTTTTTTGTTCAATATTTTATTATTTTTTTCTATAAATTCTTCTGCCTCTGCTATATCGAATATGTATGATACCCGAACCGTTTAACAATTTTCCTTTATGTAAGCTAAATGGGGTGTACACGAAAATCTGCTAAAAAGAACATTTTAAAAATTGACGATAACAATAACATCCTAGTAAAAGCTCATTACTCGGAATTGTGAATTCATGCTTTCATTGATTTACAAATGCCTTCATCCTGTGTTTATTAGTTATTCATGTACACCTCCCTCTGCTCTCTTCTCTATGTTTCTTTGGCAAAAATTATTTTCGCAATGGTTGTCTGGAAAAAATCGATATAAGAAATAAATATACTTAAATTAACAGAAAATACTCATGGTATTTTCTATTAGATACCTATCTTGTATTAAATATCTGGGTTTTTAAAATTAGATGCATCATGCGCAAAACGAAAACAAATAAGCAGAACGTAAAAAAACGTTTGTATACGTAATCAGTGCTCGGTACATTTTTTCGTTTTATTTCAATGACATCGAAAATAAGGTAATACGTATCTAATGTTTTTGTATTTATGAACGAAGCCGTGTGTGATTTATGTGTTACGGATGTAATGACTCCGTGGCGCAGTGGCTTGTCGAGTTCGATTCCCACACGGGATAAGTAAGTGTGTGACCCTCAGATAATTGTTTTGTATCTGTTGTTGTTGTTGTTATCCTACAGTAAGGGCAATGTTTAAAAAAAAACAATTCTAATGTATTGTTGTTACGTCGGAGACAGCGTTCTGTATTGTAAAACGGCTCATGCTCTCATCGTTAAATAAACACATATCAAGATCGGTCACGTCGCAGGACGCGGGGCAGTGATGCGCCGCACACAATTCCGATTCAAATTTATACAATACACGGACAAACATATTCGGTACGTCAATAAACAATAGCTGCTTTGCAAATACATAAACACAGGTGACCCGTAAATTTTTTACGTTCCCAACCTTAGTTTTAAATTTATAATTGTTAGTTCGAAGCTCCCAATAATATTTTCTTTTAAAACTCATCAAAGTAATATACACGTAATAATACAAATATGATGACAGCTGTCATGTTTTAGTTGTATAAGTGAGCTTATTACACAATTGTACTGAAACTTTATATGGTTTAAATTAAAAATAAATATTTTTCGTACTAGATGGATTCTTTTATTTATGAAAAGAGACATTTTTGATACATTTATTAAGAAACGCAAAGAATTATGGTTTCCATAAAGAGTCAATTAGTTAAAGTCAAATGAAGGAGACTTGGTTATTTTTTTCTTTTTATAACATTCAAATTCGCCGAAACTGTTCGTAAATGCAATTAGAATTACTTATTAAAAAAAAAGAGTTTCGCCTAAAACGTTTTTTTGTCTTCATAGGCAGTTAGTGTGTGTAATTTTATCTTTGAAGACGTTCGTAAGTATTGCAATAAAATATCATATCATTCATGAAATGTCATATTGTGTTTTCTATAAAAAAAAATCATATCTCA